AACGTGGCAAATAAACTTTATTGTTGGAACTTTGTTCCACCGATGAAAGGGAAGACAAAGAAAAAACCAAAAAGGGGGACATAAAAAGCACACAACAGTAAATAAGATAGCATACACTCCTTCAATAGACATACCACTGCCTAGAAAAATATTTAAAAAAAAAGTTTTTTAGTTGTAGGTATATGTGTGTGTGTGATAGAGTATTGTGTGTAATTGTGGGTATGGATGGAGCAAACAATTTCATAATTAATTTTTTTTTGAAAATGCTTGCTTCAGCCTCCAAAATCCATTTGATATAATAAAATAACACTGAATTTAAAAAATCTTTGAATAAAAATATTATAAATACACTTTTTAGCTCAATTATTTTTATTTCATGGTTAACTGATATAAATATTTCTATAATGTTGATTCAAATGTGTCAAAAATTTATTTTATTACAAATAAAATTAAAAAAATTATTTGATTTTGATTAGTTAACAAAATAAACCTTTCCAGAGGTTGCTTAAGTAACTTTGAACATTATTGTGAGCAACACATAGTTTAAACTCTTCATCTATTAAGACATCAAGAAGAGGCTTTTGTAAATCATCAACAGCATTGAGTAAACTTTCACATCCATAAGTCGAGGCTACATGTAGGATTTCATAAGTCATTTGCTAAAACAAAACCATTAAGAGTTATATAGAATCTGTTTAAATAAAATATTGATGTTAAACAAGTTGTTTTTTGCGTTGCTTAAACTAGTAGTAGCACACAAAAAAAAAAAAAAAAAAAAAAAATTTGTGGAAAAAAAAAAAGGAAATCTGGACAAAAAATCTGGTTCAATTTCAGCAGATGCTCAAAAAAAAAGAGGAAATTTGAGCAAGAACTTAAAAGTACAGAGCAGTTGTACAATGTTATAAAAAGTACTGAATGGCAGTTAAAGTTCAAGAAATTTACTTATATGAGAAGACGTTGGTAAAATAAAATAACTACTTTGTTACTGTTGATAAACTTTAAAATCAAAAAAAAAAAAACTTGTGCCAGAAGACATCTTGCACCAGTGGTGGGGCTAGATGCTCTATGGATTTAAAGAAAGAAAGCTTTTCACGCGTTATTCCATAAACCATTAAAACAGTTGTTAAAAATATATAATAAATACTTTTACATTTTCTTGTGTTTTTTCTTTTTAATATTAAAGTTTCAACAAGTACTGAATGGCAGTACTGAAAAAAAGGTAAAAAGTACTGAATGGCAGTTAAAGTTCAAGAAATACCTGGAAAGTTTTCAAAAGTTTTAAAATATCTTAGTAAGAGTAATAAAGCAGTTAAATAAATATTCTATTTACTAATTTTGCATTCTTTTTTTTTAAATTAAAAAAAAACTGGGGCTTATTTCTTTGTTTTTGAAAAAAGTTTTACATTTATGTTAAAGAAAAACCTTTTTTAAAAAAAATTCAAAAGCTATAATCATAAGATATGCATATATATAAAAATACATACTATGGAAAGCAGTCTGATGTCTGATGGGGCTTCAGTAAATACATTGACTAAATATGTACACGCAAGGAGTGCTGCTACATCCTATAGGTTTTGGTCGAGGAAGCAATCATTTTTTTCATAATTCTTTAAAAAACCCATAAAAAGTAAGCAAAAAAGCCAGCAAATGTATAGCTATATACTCTATGATAGATATATATTTACCTCCTAGGACTTAAGGGATAAACAGAATCTATCTGCTGACCAGCTTTACACCCCTTCTTCATCTATTAGGCGAGAATAGATGTATTTATAATACATTGTTTCCAGTTTAGGATGTTGAATGCTGGATCTTCTTGACTCAATGCATGAGTTTTGCTTGTGCCTCTGTTTTTATGACAAAGTAACTCATTTTATTACCTCCTAATGAGGATACTGCTCAAAAATTTATTTCTAATGTTCTGAGGCCGGCTGGTAGTCAAGTATCCAAAGCTCTGTGGAAGCTCTCAGAGAGACTGATTCCATGAACAGCTGTAAAGTTCTAGAGTACTAATAGTGCAATGTTGCATATGGATGGAGTCCATTTATGTATTTTTGGTGTGCTTTGCCAAGGTCACATGTGGAGCCCTTTGTTATTATTTTGATTTGGGTTTATTAATAGTATTGAGGCAATTGTTCTCTAAATCTATCATCCACTAATATTTGTAGTAAAAAAACCTTTCTTCTATTAAGTCTTGGAAAGTTTACCAAACCTAATTGCTCTTTGTGAGACTAATTTGAGCTGTCTTATCTTGTGATCTTAGCATTTATGGTTAACTTGCAAAGATTCCAATAGTCACTTTTGCATTTACATTATTAAAAATTAAAACAAAGCTTGAACCCACAGACTATTCTTTAATGTGCTTTCGTTTAGCACCACTTCACTCCATCATCTTTCTCTTTGTTTTATGCGCTCTCCTTTATCTCCATACTTTTTGATGTTATTTCTGATCAAACTGACCACACCCTTTCTCTTGATCCTTCAGCCAATATGGTTGTTGTTGGTGACTTTAATGCTCATTACACTGAATGGCTTTAGTGTCAGTAACACCTGTTAAATAATTATCAAAAACACTCTTTATGCTGAGCACTCTAGCAAAACTTTTCACAATTGAATTAAAAAAACTTGTTGTTTTTTATTTATTAACACAAATGTAAATTAATATTCTATTTGTTTATTATTATACTCTTTCAAAACAAAAGTATTGTTGATAAAATTTAGACTAATTTAACAACTTTTATTCATGCTTTTTAAATTCTTATTCTAGAAACAATAGCAGTAAACAACTGGTCTCATAATTTTTGCAAAAGTAATTTAAACAAAAAAATAATGAAACCACAACTTTTACAGCCCACAACTTTTGCCTTTCTCTATCTCTAATACAAATATCCAACTTTCAAACTCGCTTTCCAGAAAATTCAAATTAGTCACCTCAACTTGACTTAAGTCTTATTTTTAATTGTACCACTCCAGCTTCTGTATTTAAAGTAATTTCACTCTTACACTCTTTTACAGCTTGTGGTCAGGACAACATACCTGTTATAGTCTAGCAGTGTTCTCCGGAGCTGTTGCCTATATTTTCAAAACTATTTAACAAGTACTTATTAGAGCCTTGTTTTCCAGCCTGCTGGAAAACAAGGAAAGCTGCATCTCTTATCCTTATTTTCAAAAAGTTTCTGAAAGCGATATGACTTATCTAACTACCATCTCATTAGTCTTCTTACAATTATAAGCAAGGTTTTTGAGTTTTTAAATAACAAACAATCTCTCATCTTGAATCTTATAACTTACTTTCTAATCATCAATATTGATTTCGATATTCTTGTTCTACTGCTGATTTGTTAACAGTAATAACTGATAGGTTTTATTGTGCATTAGATAGATGTGGAGAGGTAACGATAACCACTCTCAACATTTCTAAAGCTTTTGACAAGTTTGGCATGTTCTTCTCATTAATCTCTCTTCTCACAGTGTATCAGGTAACATCTTGAAGATTATTAAATCCTTCCTTACCAATCATAGTACAAAAGTTGAACTTAATGGACAGCACTCTTCTCCATATCCTGTTACAGGGGTTCCTCAAGGTTCGATCCTTGGCCCTATACTCTTTTTCATTTACATTAACGATCTTCCAGAAATTCTCACATCTAAGGTAGCATTGTTCGCTGAGGATACTACCATCTATTCTTGTCTTGATAATAATCCAACACTTTCAAATTGCTTGGAGAGGGCATTTGAGCTTGAAAATAATCTTACTTCTGCTACAGCTCGGAAACTCAGTGGCTGATGAACTGATGAACTTTAACTCAAATAAAACTTAACCTTTTTCAGTTAATTGTTATGGCAACAATCTATCTTCCTATACTTATAAACAGCAATGTACTCAACGAGTCATCTACTCTTTATCTTCTAGGATTAACTTTTACTTCTAATCTTTTTTGAAAACCAATTATCAAATCAATTGCAAAATTAGCATCTGATAAGTTTGCATCTTTTTATTATGCTCCCTGCTATTCTTTATCTCTATAAATCTCAAATCTGTCCTTGTATGAAATACTGTTGCCATATCTGGGACACATCTTCCGATGATGCCCTTTCTCTTTTAGACAATGTGCAAAAATAGTTCAACCTGCTTTTACATCCAACCTACATAGTTCAACCTGCTTTTACATCCAATGTGCAATCATTACCACATCTCCTAATCTTTTCTATAAATATTATAATGGACAGTGCTTTAAAGAGCTGTTATGACATGTGCCATCTACTAAAACTCATTCTCATGTTAGTCATCATTCAATAAAGTTTCATCCTTTTACTGTGGCTATTCCTAAGTGCTCCAAAAAATTGTAATTATCTAGTTTTTTTCTAGAAAATCTAGAATCCTTCTTTTAGCTTCAAAAATCTACATTATTAAATTGTCTGAAAACTTATTGTCTACAATATTTCAAATTCTATTGTGAACACCGACTCAAATCAAGAGGAAATCGAAGAAACTATCAGAGTAATGCTTTTTAAAAGAGGTCATGGAAAATTCAATTAATAAGTTTCTTGAAGAGCTTGCAGAAAATCTAACTAACCCAAAGACAATGAAAGATGAGTTTTTATTATTTGTGGCAACACATAAAATGAGCAATAACTAAGATTTGTTATTTTGATGCATTCAAAACTATTAAAGTCAAGCTCAGTACCTAGTAAAAGAATATTTTCAATTTCAGGCAATTTTGTGTCCAAAATTAGAACAAGACTTGGCCACTATCAGTAGATATTATGTTTTTTAAAATCCTATTTTCTAAGGAAAAAATTACAATAAGGGAAATGAATAAAATATATAAATTTAATTAGTTAAAAATAATATATAAAGTTCTTGTTATTCAAATTTTTATTAAAAAAATTTTAAAACCGTTTTTTTGGGGAACTAAGAATTTGAAAACCAGTTTTTTCAAAAAGTTGGTTTTTGTCCAAACCCTAATTAGAAGTAAGAGTTGATCCTAGAAATCAAATGGTAGAAGACTTATAGAATACATTACTATTCATAAATATAGAAAGATCTAGATTGTTGCAATAACGATTAGTCAAAAAAAAAATTGATTTTTATCTGAGTTAAAGCTCACCAGCCACTGAGAGCCCACTGCTGTAGCAGAAGTGAGCTCTCAGTGCTGTGGCTTATGGATTTAAATTTTTTAAAGCTTAAATGCCCTACTCCGAGCAATCAGAGAGTGTAGGGAGCATTCGGAGTAGGGCATTACTCAAGGGTTTATTCAATATATAGATTGCTCGTTGGCTTCTTATCAAGATATGATAAAAGGTATCATAAAGTTTAGATGTGAAAATTTCAGGCAGATCGTTAATACAAATTAAAAAAAGTATAGGGCCAAGGAAAGAACCTTAAGGAACCCCTGAAGTTACAGGAAATAAAGAAGAGTGCTGTCCATCAAGTACAATTTTAAGTGTTTGTAAATTACAGAGTTGCTTAGAACTTTTCTGTTTTCATCAATGACCCATCTTAACCACTCACCAAAATAGTAACATGTTTCTCTTTTTTTACTACATACAAAAAATATGTTTTTAAATATTTTAGTATTTTTCAATATTTGCATTTCTAAACTAAAACAGCTAGTAATTAATTAATCATTCATTTACCAGTAAGTGACAAAAAAAAGTTTCAAATCACAGTAAGAGGGTGTTTCTCTTAAAACTCTCTTTTATTAGGGCACCTTGTTTTTCTTGTTCTAACCTACCGCTATAGTGAACTGATGATTGCAAGAAAAATGATGTAACAAAGCAACGCCAACTTTGACAAATTTTGCACTTTGGCCTAATTGATCAGAGACATCCCTGAATAATTTTCTTAATGTTGCAGGATCAATTTGAATAGTAAAAGTTGGCAATCTGGTTTTACGCTTTGGCTGGAAAGGAGTGAAAACTTTGATTTTTGTGCTGCTTAAGTCATCCACACTTTTTTCAAAGAGTTCTTCTATTTTTTTTATTACTTACTAGCATTTCCTGTTTTCACAGTGTGTTCATTACAATCAGATCTTCTCTTCTCAAGGCATGCATTGTGAGATCAGGCTTGATCATCTCTTGTTGCACAAGAGTTGTGTGGCAACCAATCATCAAACCAACTTTTTTGGAGATAAACAACACAATACTAATATAAAATGAAAACAATTACCGTAAGTAGACACAAAACAGTATCATGGTTAAAATAATGCATGAAATTACCTGTAGATACTTCCATTGGTTTAGTAAAAACTTCTAGTTCTCCTTCCACGTTGCAAGTTGAGAGATTTTATTTAATATGAAGTATTTCAGCTGCTGATATGTCACAGATATGATTCATTTCTCCAAAAACTGGTCTTGTTTCTTTTTAAGGCATTTTTTTCTCTTATTCAAAACACTTTTCCAATGTCTTGTCCAAAAACTGAACTTATTATATGACTAGTAAATGAGCTCTATTTCTTGCAATTTAATCAAGATTTTTCTGAGGTCTGAGGTATCTTTAGAGCTATTTTATGAGGAAGTTTTAAACCTAAACTTTTTTTTTTTCCAAATCTAATAAAGTGATTTTTGATGGTGATTTCATGTGGATTTTGTTTTTTCTGATGAACATTTTTTTCTTTTAGAGGTTTGCTTAGTTTTGGTAGTTTATGAGAACATAGATCAATATTTGTGGCGAAGAAAAAACAAAGTACAAGATGCAGAAGCATATGACTGGGTTACTTACTAATTTAAGCAAAATCTGGCACAAATTACTTTATTGAAAAAAAGGAAAAGCAACTTTTTTTAAGCCTAGCAATCACAAAAACCTTAATTGCTTGTGTAATAAGTATATACTTACTTGACTTGTGTAGTAAGTATATATTTACTTTGCTTGTGTTATAAGTGTATACTTATTTGGATTGTAAACTGAGTATATACTTACTTAGCTTGTATAGTAAGTATATACTTACTTAGCTTGTGTAGTAATTATATACTTACTTGGCTTATGCAGTAAGTACATATTTACTTCGCTTGTGTAGTATATAAAACACAAAGCCTAATCTCTTTAAAACATTGTTTTAGAAAATATTTTCCTTATCTGAATTCGCATATTAAATTTACTGTAAACACAAAAAGCCTTAAGTTATAAAAAAAAAAAAACTAAAACACAAAGCATAATCTCTTAAAACCACTCTCTAAACAAATTACATTATTGATTATGATGGAATCTCATTATTTAACAATAGTAATATTAAAACTAAATAATAATGTTAATATTAAACTTACTGCTAAAACAAATGACTTAGTTCTTTTTTTTCTTCTTAAAACTTACTGTTAATACAAACATTTTAAAACAAACAACTTAACCATATAAAATTATATACCGGCCATACTGATTAAGAAACAACATGAAAAGAATTATAAAATTCGGTAAAAGAAAAATGAAAGAATCAAACTTTTTTATTTGAAACATATGTTTCTTTTATATAAAATTGTTTATATAAAATTTTTTACAATTAATTATAGTTAGTGATACGTTAATAAAATAAAAGTTTAAATATGTTTAATAAAATCTGTCAAGAATTACTTTACTGACATTGCTAAACTACAAAACCACTTAGGTATTTAAAGTCAAATTTTTAAATAAAAAAATATGCAGGGTTCATATTATTTCTTTCTTAGTCTAATTCTTAATTTATATGTTGGGGTAATAATTCTGAAGTTTTGCAGAAAACGGGTAACCTTAGATTTAAGTGCAATGAAAAAGTGGTTTAATGGTGCTTAGATTCAAAAAAATGTTGTTATGTGTTATGTTTGTAATAAAAAGCTCCCAGTAGTAATGCAACAATACTGAAAAATCATTTCATAATTTTTGATGGCCGACTTTATTTTTTTGATGGTGAACTTGGATTTTTTTTAAACCAGAACTCAATAAATTAAAACAATGATGAGCCAATCGAAATGTAAAACTTTTGTTTTTGTATTTTTAAAAGAAATATACTAACTTTTCTTAGATTTGAGTGTTTAATACTTAGGTGACCTAACTTTAGCAATTATATGTTTTTTTAATCAATTATAAAAGTTCATGTAATATTTTTAAATATTTTATTATCATAGCTGAAGAAAAAAAGTACTTCACAATATTCTGCAATTTTCATATAATCTTCACTTTTATCTTTGACTCTTATAGATTCTTGTCTGTACATCAATGTCAATTTCATTGCAGTGTAAATGGGTGCTGGAGAGTTCAAAATAAAATCTTGTGCAGACTCGTTGTCATTTAAGTTGCAGCAGATCATTAAATGACCTAAAAACTAAATTTAAATTTAAATTAGAATAGCATATTAAACAATATTGTTTATTTATTATGGGGTTTTAAAATAAAATGCAATATATAGTTTTTCCCCCAACTTTTCGAAATACTTTTCGAAAATTGAAATCAAAAAAGTTGTTAAAAAAAGATAAGAAATATAAAATGTAATTGAAATTACAAACTTTGTTATTAAGAAACATAAGATGCAATCAAGAATACATAAATTGCAATTGAGACTTAGATCTCAGAGGCTAATTGAAAAAATCTGGTTGGGTGTTAATTGAAACCATCATTCTCATACTTTAAATTAAGAATCTAAATAATCAGTTGGATAGATTTTTTTAAAGAAAAAAACTGAGACAACAAACGAAAGCAAATCATTTATTTAAAAGTAATATTTAAATTAAATTAAAAAATTAAAATGGCTGTAATATCCAGTTGTTTTCCATATATAAATTGTTGCATAATGGGCAAGCAAGCATTACAAACCCAATGGTTATTTGTTTCCTATTAATGTGTTTTTTTGCAGCAGTAACAATATATTTTAAACATTGCATCCATTGTTCCACAATCCTACTCCAAATACAAATAAAATGAGATTTTCACTTTTAACATTACTTTTAATTTTGGATCAGATTTTTCTTCTTGATTTAAAAGAGTCTTGAATGTAACAGCTGAGGTGGTGAACATTTAAACATGCTTACAGAACAAGGTTAACAAGAAGCAATGACTGGTTACACTTGTAGCAAACTAGTGTAACCAGTCAAACTAGTGCTCCTAGTGTAAAATTACTAAACTCTCTAAACATTTCTTAAAATTATTAAATAACACTCTGTGAGTTTCCAGCATAAAAACATTTGTTGTGGACACAGCTGCAATTAAGTATATAACTTGGAACAGGTATTTTCATTATTGCTTATCCAAACAGAAAATCAACTAATTGCATTATGTTTTCATTACTGTTCATGAAACATACGGTTAATGAAACTTTTGCTTTTATAGTAATGGATGTTCTGTTGATGCTTTTAGGGATTGCCCTCAAATTACGCAACACAAAATATATTTAAAAAACAGAACTAAAAGATATTTACACTGCGATTTTCATTAAACTTAATGACTTAATTTAATTTTTTATTTAAATCAAGACTCTGCAAGGGAAAACTTTTAATCTTTTTTGTTTTGTTTATTGTGAAAGTTTGCATTACGTAATTTATGGACAATTCCTTATTAAATTTTACTGATGTTCTCAGTTTATCAAGTTTTGATAGTCAATAAAGAAACTTTTATTTTAATTGTGCTTGAGTCACCCAATTTTCAGTTTCTCTAAATCTAAATTAAATTTTATAAACCTTTATAAATACTTTATAAATACTTTATAAATATTGAAAATTTTGAAGGATCTAAAGTTAAGTCTCTTGTAATTAAAAAAAAATTCAAATTTAGTGTATATTACAATGAATATTGAAGATATAAGATTTTTGAATGTAATCATGTTAACAATGGAATTGAAAACCTTGAATTAAAAAAAATTATAGACCCATATAATTCAATTAACTACTAAAAAGACATACTTTATAGAAACTCCTCACTTCTATTTAACTTTATTGAAGACAACTTGTTAATTGGATTTTACTAGTTAATTTGATTCAGTTAAAAAAGTCATTGACAAATCTCTTTTCAGATTAGAAAAGTTAATTAAAATAAAACCTTTTTAAAAATTGTTTTTTTTTTTTGTTATAAATTATGAATTTTGGAAAAATGAACCATGAATTTTTAAGATAAACAAAGAAATAAATTTGCTTTTGTTGATAATTACCTGACATTTTGAAATAATTGTTTGATGTTATAAAAAAATTCTCTATTGTTAAACTCTTTGATGTGTATAAAAAATTCCAGGTAGCTGTTGATTTGCAACTACCTAATCCAAGATCCAACTCACTTTGATAAATAATAAATTTCAAATAAAAATCTCTAATCAACTTAAATTTTTAAAAATATTTCTACAAAAGTGTGTGTGTGTGTGCGTGTGTCTATATATATATATATATATATATATATATATATATATATATATATATATATATATATATATATATATATATATATATATATATATATATATATATATATATATATATATATATATATATATATATATATATATATATATGATTACAACTCTCTTTCTTAACTCAAACAAGCTGCAGAGAAACAAGTTAAGCGTGTTAGTGCCAGGACAGTGATTGATAGTCAAGATATATAATTCTAAAATCTCTCTCAAATCATGTGCATTTATTTTAAATTTATTTATTAAAACCATTTAGTTGAACCAAATATTACTTTGTTTTGATATTTTGACTACTGCTTTTTACATATCAAAAACATGCTGAATAAAAAAGATTTTTCATTATGCATCAGGAAAAAAAAAAATTAGTTTTGAAACTTTTAGTAATGTTTTTATATCAGCAAAACACTTTAAAATATATTTAAAAATTACTGATAGTGATTTTTATTTCAAATATCAATGAAATATAATAAATTTTATTAATGTTATATAAATTATATAAGCATGCATTTTTTATAACAACCAATACTTTTTTTTTTAATGAATTTATTTTAATTTTTGTATACAACAACAATAGCCTTTTTAATAAACTTTATATAAAAATCATTAAAGTTAATACAATTAAAAAGACGAAAACTTTGTTGAAAAAAAATTAATGTATACTAATTTTTTTGTATACTAAGTATACAAAATTTTGTATACTTTTGTATACTTTTTGTAAATTAAAAGTAAAATTTTGTAAAGTAAAAGTAAAATTTTGTATACTTTTTGTATACTAAATTAATGTATACTAATTTTTTTGTATACTAATGTATACTAAGTTTTTAATAAACTTTATATAAAAATCATTAAAGTTAATACAATTAAAAAGACGAAAACTTTTTTGAAAAAAAATTAATGTATACTAATTTTTTACATTAATATAAATTTTTTTTCAATAAAAGTTTTTATCAATTAATTGTCTCTAACTACCTGGAACTTTCAAAAAAAAAAAAAAGATACCAGGAATCAATACCTGGTTAATAATTCCTGGTATCTTTATTTCTTTTTGAATTTGTTCTGAACTTTTTTTTTAATGAAATAGTCATGTAACAATCATTTAAGTACAATTTAAAAAAATGATTTTACTTTATTATCTTGCAGCAAAGTGTTTACTTCAAATTTATGGAGCAGAAGAAAAGACATTGTTTGAAGATGATGATGTTTTGCTGCAAATGTAATAGGTGCTTTACCATCCTAAATTTAAAAAATATCATAAACTATTCAAAATACAATTAACTAATAAATTAATAAATAAACTATTCAAAATACAATTAACTAATAAATTAATTAATAAATAAACTTTTCAAAATACAATTAACTAATAAATTAATTAATAAATAAACTTTTCAAAATACAATTAACTAATAAATTAATTAATAAATAAACTATTCAAAATACAATTGCTGAAATATAATACTAACCCAACTGAATGTACAGTAACCCAACTGAATGTACAGTAACCCAACTGAATGTACAGTAACCCAACTGATTATACAGTAACCCAACTGAATGTACAGTAACCCCACTGAATGTACAGTAACCCAACTGAATGTACCCAACTATATCAGTGTTAACCAAACTAAAACTTTCTTAAAGTGTAAAATGTTTTTGTAAAATTTATTAATTAGAAGAAATGAAATTTACATATTAAAGGGGAAGCACTTAACTGGCAAATATGATGTAAATTTCAATTCTGCAAACTTTTTTTTTCCAGGCTTAATTAATAATTTATATCAGGGGTTAAATTTAAACATACAGGGGTGGGACCGCAAAATGTGAACACTTTTCTGATTGTAATAATTAATTTTCTGTTAAATATGAACTATTTTAAATGTTCAATTTTTGTTTTTTTACATATTATATTTTACTTTGTTTACATATTCATTAGTACTTTGTCTTTCGTTTTTTATCAAATAAACTCAACTACATCTAACGAGAAAATAGTTATAATAAAACAAAAACGTTCACATTTTGCGGTCCCACCCCTGTATTTGTTTAGTTACTAATACAAAAATTAAACAAACATTTATACATATATATAAACTAAAACATAAATTGAAACCATTTTAACATTAAAACCATTACCATATCTTCTATTGAAGGTTGGGCACCCATTTGGACCAAAAATATTACTATATCAGTAGAACCTGCATCAGCAGCATAGTGCAGTGGTGTCCAGCCATTCTTGAAAAAGAAATTTTTTAATATTATAACCAGCAACTCATTTTTTCAGAAATCTGTTTTAAATCAACAGCATAAGTAAATACAAATAATGTTTTAATATGTAATTTTAAGTAATTTAAAATTAGTTTCTTATTTTCAATTTAATAAAAGTTTGAGATAAATTGAGTGATGCTTTAATAAACAGTTTGTACTAAAACCAATCCTTTTTATAAATTAAAATGACTTAGAATAATTCAATCAGTTTATAAATTGTATTACAGAAGACTTTACTTTTAAAATGTTATTATCATTATTTAAAAAAGACCAAGAAATAAAAAAACATAGATTGTAATAAACTATATAACTATATAAAACAAGATTTTTATAAATAAAAAAAAAGTTGCTTTTAACAAAGGATGCCCACATAAATTAATCAGATAATGGAGTCTTAAACAACACACACACACATACAGACATGATAATTTCACTTCAAGAGTGTATAAATCACATGATAAAATCAATTATACAACTCATACATACTTTAGTCAATTGTTTATGATCTTTTTGTAAAACTTTATAATATTTATCAGTTATTTTATAAAAATATTATTAAAAAAATGTTTTTTTTTAAGAGCTATTGTCAGCAAAAATCAGACAATTTTGAAGAAATAAAATACTCTAACCAATTCCACTTTTTTTACATACTTTCTTTGTATGATAGATGCAATGATTAATACAAAATATATTGGTTTAAATACTATTAGTTTGGCCATGGGGGTACTTTGAAAATCAGAGGAATTTTATTTTATTTATTTCAATAAAATTTTTTAACTTATTAATTATTGTCAGACACAAGTTTTTCTAGAATAATCAAAAACAAAAAATCAAAATATTTTTGTTGTCTAGAAATCATATTCTAAAAGTACAAAAAATGTGATAAAATAATGTGATAAAATGTGATACAAAAATGTGACACAAAAAATGTGATAAAATAATGAACTAATAAGAAGCTGCATCTATTGAAGCCAACATAGCTATATTTGTTTACATAAGATGATAGACGCGAGTCTTTAAATTAAATTTTATGATTAGATGTAAATCGAACCATAAAATTGCACAATAGTTGCATTGGCATTTCAAAGAGACCAGCAGTGATTTTTTGAACAGTTTTTTTTAAAAAAATCTTTTGATTTGAGACTGCTATAAAAACTGATGTCAAAAGATTTGAAAAAATGTTAACTAGAAATATGTTCATAAAGGTGTAGACTGCCATATGTGAAAAAATTTACTCTCTCTCTCTTTTTTTTTTTTTTTAACATCTTCACTTCCAATAAGGCTGCAAGCAACCACTGATTAGTGTTGGAAGTTATTGGAATAGAAAAGATGAAGATTGTGAATTGATTGTGAAAAGATTGTGAAAAAAAAAAGATTTTGAAGATCAGTTCTTTTGAAGTGAATTCAAAAGAACTGATGTTCAAGGAAAAAAACTAGAAAATAAGAATTTTTGGAGCACTAAGGAACAGTAACAGAAAAAGGATGAGACTTAATTGAATGACGAGTTACCAAGAATGAATTTTAGTAGATGGCACAAGAGACGCTAGCTCTTTAGAGCAGTTACTATTATAGTATTTGTAGAAAAAAGAAAATAGAAAAAAGAGAATAGAATCCAGAGTAAGAAAGTGACGAGCTTGATAAAGAGATGCAACTTTAGCAGATGCTAATTTTGCAACAGATTTGATATAAGGTTTTCAAGAAAGATCAGAAGTAAGAGTTAATCCTAGAAGATAAAGGGTAGAAGATAAAGGGTGACTCATCGAGCACATTACCACTCATAAATATAGGAGGGTCTAAATTATTGCAATAACGATTGGCTGAAAAAAAAGAATCTTATCTGAATTAAAGTTCACAAGCCACTGTGAGCACCATGCTGTAGCAGAGGCGAGATCCTTTTCAAGCTCAAATGCCTCCTGCAAGCAATCAGAGGAAGTTGGCTTCTTATTGTGACAAGAATAAATGGTAGTATCATAAGCGAACAATGCCACCTTAGTTGTGAGAATATCTGGAAGATCGTTAATGTATATAAAAAAAGGACCAAGGTCTGAACCTTGAGGAACCCCTGAAGTTACAGAATAAAAAGAAGAGTGCTGTCCATGCTGAACAAGGGTATAAGGCAAAGGATTGAACCTTGAGGAACCCCTGAGGTTACAGAATAAGAAGAAGAGTGCTGTCTATCAAGGACAACTTTTATACTACAATAAGAAAAGATTCAATAATCTTAAAGATGTTTCCAGATACGACGTAAGAAGAAATCATATGGAGAAGACCAGCATGCCAAACTTTATCAAACGCTTTAGAAATGTCAAGAGCAATGGCCTTAACCTCTCCACCGTTATCTAATAGGCGAAAAAACCTATCGGTTATTACTGTTAGCAAATCAGCCATAGAATGAGAAAATCGAAACCCATAATGATGATCAGAAAGTAAGTTATTAGATTCAAGATGAGAGATTAAGTGTTTGTTAATTAAAGATTCAAAAACCTTGCTTATGATGGGAAGAAGACTAATGGGATGGTTTTTAGACGAATCGGATCACACTCCAGAATTTTTAATAATAGGGATAACAGATGCTACTTTCCAGCAGGCTGGAAAACAAGACTCTGATAAGCACTTGTTGAATAGTTTTGAAAGGATAGACGACAGCTCCGGAGAACACTTCTGCAAGACTATAACAGGTATGTTATCCGGGCTGCAAGCTGTAGAAGAGTCTAAGCAGGAAATCACTTTAGATACGGAAGCTGGAGTGATATGGATGTCAAGCAATGGATCAAAATGGATCAAAATAGATCAAAAGAGGATATTGATAAAAAGTTCTTAGCAAACAATTCAGCTTTGTCTTTAGGTGAGGTGAAAAAGTCTGAACCATACATAAGTCATAACCATATATATTATAAAAAGAAAATATGTTTTGAGAGTCATATTAGATATACCAACTGCCATTATTGATACTTTAATCTATTTACGCAAAGCAACAAAATGGGCTTACAGCTTGAGGCATCTTCAATACTGCGAAAGGCTAAAAAGATTAAATCTACCATCACTTGAGTTTCGACGTCTTCGATGCGATTTAATCCAAATTTTTAAATTAATACATCGTTTTGATATAGTTAACGATAAATATCTACCAAAATATATTAACTCTATGTCTCGTGGTCACCATTCTAAAATAAGGCGTGAGTATGTTCCAAACTGTCTTCCAAGATATAATCATTTGTATAATAGATCAGCAAAATACTGGAACAAACTACCAGAGCAAATAACTTTGTACTCCACTGTACTTTCCTTCAATAATAGACTAGACTCCTGGTTGTGGAATAAGTTTGGAACAAATATTTATAAAACTGGTTGTTTATAGTGGGGTGTTTTCCCTGCTCGCTTTATGTGTACATTCTATGTAAATTTACAGCTACAACTATAATAATAATAATAATATGTGTATATATATATATCTATATCTATATATCTATATATATCTATATATCTATATATATCTATATATATATATCTATATCTATATATCTATATATATCTATATATATCTATATATCTATATATATCTATATATCTAAATATATATCTATATATCTATATATATCTATATATCTATATATATATATATATATATATATATATATATATATATATATATATATATATATATATATATATATATATATATATATATATATATATATATATATATATACATATATATACATATATATATATATATATGTATATATATATATATATATATATATATATATATATATATATATATATATATATATATATATATATATATGTATACAACCCTCGAAATTAGAAAAATTGAAGGTGCTCTGGTCATTGATATATATATATATATATATATATATATATATATATATATATATATATATATATATATATATATATATATATATATATATATAGGTGGTCTGGTAATTGGTCCTAATAAGCTGCAGATGGTCTAAAAAAAATTATGATTATGAAAAAAAATTAATAAGCCTGTCCTGCTTATTTGCAGCTGTGAAAAGTGGGTCAGATATTAGACATATGGTGGACAAAATTATTTTGATCTTTTTTTTTATATAAACCTCTTTTAAATGTCCAAAGAATCACTTTGAAATAAAATATATTTACTTTTATCATAAATTTTTGTTAAATAGTTGATAATATTAAAAATTATTAAACAAACTTTATAAAACTTTAAAAACGCGGGTTTTTAACTTTTTAATTACAAACTCTTTAACTTCTTAAAATCGCAGAACTGCATAACAAACAAACTGCATAACAAACTCTTCTGGTCAAATCAACTTAAAAAAAAAATTGAAGCAGCAAACTTTAAAAATAAAAATGAGCATTTTCTTCAGAAAAAATGAAAATTTATGAGTAGATTTGAAACTGTATTATCGAATTGTCACATGTCCACAGCATTTTAAATAAGTCTGTAGATTATTTTTCATCTCTATATATAATGTTTTTATTTTTATTTTTAATTTCTTGGTCATACCTTCTGGATAAATAATATTAAAACATTTTTATTATTATAAAGTCTACTGAGTTCTAAAGGTACTATGCAAATAATTATAAGGTAATCTTCATTTGTTAGACTTTGTTCACTGTTTTCATTTTGACTTACCTGTTTGTAAGCGCTATATCCTGTAGCACCATTAAATCCAGCCTTGCATCTAAACACCAGTTTAGTTAATTCATTAGCATTGTGATTAGCACAGTAGTTTGTATATCACACAGCTTTTTAAGAGTTTTAGAAGATCTTTTAGTGATAAGTACTGAATAGTCTTTGTCATGTGAATGTTCTTGGGATACCATTAAGCTTTTGAAGATCTTATTCCATTATATAAAGGGTATGTGGCAGCCGCTTTTTTTAGTATTTTTTAGTATCATTTCTGAGAAGATGGTATGTTGACTTTAATATATCACCATTAATAATAAATGCTAAAACATCATCAGGTGAATTTTCATTCAGGTTGAAAATTCAGGTGAAAGTGATTTTTGTGCCAGTTTCATACTTAAAATCGCTTTTTAGTTTCAATTTTGTTGTATAATTTGACAATAAATAAAATATTAATAACATTTTTAAGCTTATTTCTTTTTGTTTTGTTACAAACTATTTCAAAAAAGCAACATGGTTTCCCAACTTTATTAACTGATGATCTAATATTTAATGTAACATAGGTATATTGAAAATCTTGAGCTAGCCAACTTTCATTACTTCTCTTAAAATAAGTATTATCATTGTTTGCAGTTATCCACTTTTTATATTATACTATTATAAAGTTTTTCACTCAGAACTAGTTTAATATTTACAGAAACTAGAAGATGAAAAAGAATGATAAAAAGAATGGTATATCATTAGGAAAAAATACATTTATACTCAAACCAATTTTCAAAGTAATAAATGAAAATTTATGAAAATGTTTTATTCTATGGTTTTGAATATAACAGTTATATTTCTTTTAGGTTTTGTCCACCACCTGACACACTGTGCTGTGGAGGCAAAAAAAAAAAAAAAAAAAAAAAAAAACCATAGCTAGCAAAACTGTTTTAATACATACTATATTTATTTATATAATTGAAAATGTTTTGTATCGAGGGCAGATATGAAGCTTCACAAAACAATACCATTGATACCATGTCCTTTATATGTATTCTAACGAAACTTTTCGATTTTTTATCATTTTATTCATTAAATCTAAATAACTTTTTATGAGAAGAGAACGATTTAACTTTTTTAAATGCCTTAATAATTCTTATCAGCTAAATACAGTATCTTCCCTAAGGAACTTTTGTTTACCAACTGGACCAGCTGGAAGTGTTTGTGACTATATCCACAATTATAGATATACTTTTATGAACATATTTTCAGGTAAATTTTAAAAAAATCTTTTGGCTTTATTTTTTATCGCAGTCTAAAGTCGGAACACGTTTTTCAAAAATGTGTTTTTCACTGCTGATTTTTAAAGATGCCAATGCAACCACGCACAGTTTTATTTTTTTAATGGATGATTATACCCACAGCTATCATCATCTTGTACAAAATAAATCCATGTTGCTAGTTGGCTTCAATGTTGCTATGTTGGCTTCAATTTTGCTTTGTAGGCTTCAATAGTTACGAGTTCTTAAAGTTCATACTTTTTCAAAATTTTTGTACTTTGATTGATTTGCTATGATTTTTAGACTATGAACAATTTTTCTTTTTAATTTTTGTTATTTTTCTAGTAAAACTTGTGGCTGGCTGTTTTAAGTTGACAAAACTTATTTAAATAAATAATATTAAAGTTAAAGCTTTTTAAAGTATGACATGATAGAAAAAAATTGACTAAACTTCATCGAATTTTCAAAGTACCACTATGGACAAAAAATAAGTATTTATCATTTTATCTATTATTATCCAAATATCTACTAACATACAAAGAAAATATGTGAAGATAATATTTGATGTTATTAAAATAATTTTTTATTATTACTTTTAAGGTTACTTTTAAGGTTTTTTATAATTAATACTTTTACTTTTAAGGTTTTTTATAATTTATCCTTATAAAAAAACATTTCATTCAATTTTCATAATAGAACTTTTAATTCATATTTTATCTAACAACATTTTAAATCCAAAATTCTAACAAAAATCAGTGAAAAAATCCAAAATTGCCAGGATATTAGCCTACTTAGTAATATACAAATATTTTATTAAATATTTATATTTTATTGAAGATTTATATTCTGTCTACTGTCAATTGTGTTAACCATTGAAGATACATTAGAAAGTTAACCATACATTTAGTGTATTTTGTAAGTAGCAAATTTGTGAAGAAAAACTGAATGATTCAACTGTTGAGGAATGGTGTATGTCTTTTGTCATTCCTTGAAAAGATGAACTGTCACTGTGAAGTGAAGCATGAAACTATTATTTCTAATGTGAAGTGAAGTGTGAAACTGTCACTGGTTTAAGAAGTTGTATTGAAAAAATTATCTAAATTTCTTTTTTAGTTTATAAATAAATTTTTTTTTTTTTTGATAAGTTCAAAATGCAACTAGACATCTTTGATAGAAAATCATTACAAAGCTTGATTTTGAAAAAGACTAATTTAATTTGCTGTTTTAGGGTATTTAAGGCAAATTTTATCAATTGAAAACTGATTAACTGCACTTTACTATAAGAATGGTCATTTGACATATGTTTATTCATATTTCCAGATCTACTAGGTTTTAATATTCTGATACTATACAGTTTTACTTTTTATAGGATTTTAGGTGGGTTACAAAACCCACCTAAAATGATCTTAAGTGGTACAGAAGAGAAAAGTGAGCCATGAAGTTTGATATCCTGCAAATTTGGCAAGATTTAAATTCGGACTACTTAAGCAACTGCTACTTCTGCATGCAAACCCTAAAAATCATCTCATTGGCAAATATCCCCCTTAGATTGTTTATCTGGAAATAACTTCTTCCATCGCTTCAGTACTACACAGCCACAATCTGCCTGATTCAACTCCTAGATGGTATCAACCATCTTTAAGAGACAACAGCAAGTCAGATAGTGTGGCGGATACTGGAGATATAGACTACGATTCCGCAGATGAAGCTGGGGATAGAAAGCTGTACTTCTCTAACCAGAAAAAGTTAGGAAATGGAATGGAAACAACTACCCATATCTCCCAATGGTCCACTCCTGTGAGGACTACACCAGTGTATAAATGTTGCTGAGGGCATTAAAGTATGATGGCTACGGATGGGAGGTCATCTGTGACTTCAAAATGGTATCATTCCTCATGGGTCTTCAAGAAGGTTCACGAAATTTTATTGTTTCCTCTATCTCTAGAACAGCTGCAAAACATAGGTGCATTATCGCACAAAGAACTGGGCAAAATGAATTGATGTTTCTGTTGCAATTTGAAGTGGGAGTTGCTGATAGAACCTCATAAAGTGCTTGTGCCACCACTGCACATCAAGTTAGGCCTCATTGGGCATTTTGCCAATGCTCTTGACAAAAAGTTAGCAGAATTTCAACACCTCCATGATCTTTTTCCAAAGCTATCCAAGGCTAAGGTCAGGGCTGCTATATTAGTTTATTAGTTTTTGCAAATCTGTTAAAAAGGATTGAGAGAGCGGCTTAGGGCAGTTTCATTGCAGTTGTTCAGGGCTTCCTAGGTAATTACAAAGCTGAAAACTATGTGGAGTTGGTGCAGACTCTCATGTAGAATTACACTAAAATGGGATGCAGAATGTTTTTGAAAGTCCACACCCTTGATTTGCATCTTGACAAATTCAAAGAGAACATGAGTGCTTACTACAAAGAGCAAGACGATTGCTTTCATCAAGATATATTGGACTTTAAACATCGTTACCAAGGGTAGTATAATAAAAACATGATGGAGGATTAAATTTGATCAAAATAAATATCTATTGATTTAGTTTTATGAACTGCAAAATTAAATTTTTTAATTTTTGAAAATTTTAAAAAATTAAATTTTTTCAGTATCATCAAAAAAAGATTTAAGTAAAATGTTTAGAATTTCACAAAGTATCAAAAAGAAATGAGAACAGAACTTATCAGTTTATCAGTTCTAAAAACTAAACCAACTACATGATGGTTAGCTTCTGTTTTGTTTTACAAACAAAATAATGGTTAACCTTTGTTTTCTTATATAAAAAACACGATGGTTAGCTTTTGTTTTATTTTCTAAACAACATAATGGTTAGTTGTTTTTTTTTGTTTAACAAATAACATGGAGATTACCTTTGTTTTGCTTTATAAACAACATGGTGGCTAGCTTTACTGTTTGTTTTGTTTAAAAAACAAGATGATAACTATCTTTTGTTTTGTTTTAATTAGTTTAAAAGTGGCACGATTCAGTTTGTCCAATTAACAAATAAAAACTAAAACTAATACGATCCACAATTGACAAATAAATCTTGCGAGTAAATTCGTTATTTGCTTGTGGTCCACTGTTCATTCTACTCCTTTGTAATTACAAGTTTCAATTTAAATGGTCAACTAACAATCTATAGTTAATAGTGATTAGTTTGGATGATAAATTAGTATTTAAATTAACTTTAGTGCAAAAGTGATTTTGAACTAAAAAAGTTTAGAGTTAAATCATAGTTAAGCTAGCAAAAAAAAAAAGTGAAATAAAAAATACGACTTATATACCTTATCTTGTGCATCAATTTCTGCACCTTGTCCTAGAAGAAGTTGCACAAGTTCAAGATGTTTATTACCAGCTGCAAAATGAAGAGCTGTTCTTCCAATAGCGCATCTAGCATTGATTTGTTCTGCTGAACGACTCAATAAAATACTTGTCACATTGGCATGACCTTCTGCTATGGCCATATGAATTGATAGCAAACCCTAAAGCAAAGTAAATAACCAGTATGAAAAAATTTTAATTGCAACTGATGATCTAGGTTTATCATAATTTGTCATTAATAACATTTAAAAAAAAAACCTTTTTTGATGTTGGATGTTCAACTATTACACCGTCTGAATTTAAAAGTTGTCTGAGAGTTACCTCATGCCCATTTTTTGCTGCATAATGCAAACATGTTAAACCATGCTGGAACAAAAACATATTTATGAACAATTGAAGTTCAGTTAATAAAATGATTAGGGGAGAGTGGGGCACCATGATTTAATTTTTGATGACTACTTTTAATTTTTGCTTCCTAACAATTTTTTTAATAAGTTTTTTAGGCAACTAGTTTAATTTGAAGATTAAACTTATGCTATGACTAAATTTGTTAATTGCCAAAATATAACAGGTTAAACATGTAAGACTATTTAAAGTAAAATTAGAAATTTGTATCAAGGCAAGGGTGGGGCCCTTGGAGTACCTTGATACAATCTATAAGCATCATTAAAAAAGTAAATAAAAAACATGAAACTTAATAAAAAAGGACATATTTACTTAATAAACAAACAAATTAATAAATATAACCAAATAATGCTTCCAATTGTCCAAATCACATTTCACAAATCCAGATAATATATCATTTTAAATGTCATTCTTAAGAGCCAATAATTAATGGTTTTGTATGGAAATTAGATTTCTTAATATTATTTTTACCTCTTAAAAATTGACTGTAAATATTAAAAGAAGTGATTTTCAAGATTGTTTATGACACAATGGAGTGCTACTCTACAGTTTTAGAGCCCCCCCAAAAATGCTGTATCAAGTTACCTCATACTTGCTAATAGTGAATAATCACTTTATTTTTAGTATAGAATTTTTTTTTAAATAGTTTTGAAACAAGTAAATATTTGACAGTAAATATTAAAAGAAAAGATTATTAAGATTGTCTACAGCTTTAGGGCCCTCTACTCTATTCTACAATTGAGCACTGTTCTACAGTTTTAGAGCCCCCTACAAACGCTGTATTAAGTTACCCAATACTTGCTTATAGAAAACAATCGCTTTATTTTTAATATAAACTTGTTTTTTCAATAATTTTGTTTAATAAGGTAAAGAGCTTATGGATTTTAGTTGGAATAACATATCTTAAAACTTGGTAACTTTAAAAACTAATAAATTACTTTGTCATCAAAAAACCCCTTGCAGGCCTAATGATATCAAATGATATAATTTTTTTTATGTCAAACACAGCTCTAGTAATAACTGTTTCAACATATGAAAAATGTTGTCACAACTCTTAAAATATTTTTACAATTACAACGTTTCATGGTGGCCCACTTTCCCGTATATACAATTAAGCTAAAAAAGATTCACTGTCAACCAAAACGACTGCCGGATTTAAAGATATTAAAAAATCTCAGAATAAGTTTTTCTACAATCAAAAGTTTTAAAATATTTTCTAAAATTGTAATAAAAAAGGAGGTAAAATAAGTATTTGTTTAGTTTTGCAATTCTTTATTTGTTTTCATTATGTTTTTAGATATTTGCTGAAACATATTTGATAATTGTAAAATATTACACTTGCCACTTACCTCAGTCTCAGCTGGTATTTTTCCTGCAGGACACTTTAAAAATATATACATAAAGTTTAAAAACCAAGAAAATTATTACAAAAAATATATAAGATAAATATTATATGAAAATAATTTAATATGAATACAAATAAAACTTTAGAACTGATAAAGATAACAACCAGATATTATCAAAACTTTTACAATGATATTTTAATGAATTATCATTTATAAAAAAAATCTGTTACATCTGTTTTAACCATGCAAAAAATATGTCATAACCTCACTGGCTATACTTGGTGGCACTTTGGACATAAGTTCAACCAAACACTCAGCCTGATCAAATTCAGCAGCCAGATGAAGAGGATTCATGCCAGTCTATAAAAACATTCAAAAGTTTTATTTTTAGAATAAAACAGGTTGCTTATATTATTTTTTGAACTAACTATTAATGATACCTTAGAACTAAATACATTAAATGATATTTTTCCTTTAAACAATTCAATAGCATTTCTTGCACCAAACTTGGCAGCAAGGTGAAGAGGAGTTAATCCATCTTTGTCTTCTTCTAGCAGTGATACACCTTGATTTATGAGTAGTTGAATAATGTCAACATGATCATGAATTGCAGCCAAATGTAAGGGTGTCCTTAATGTGGTCTGAATCAAAAAAATTAACTTTAATCAAAATAAAGTTTATAACTAAAATATCATACTCTGTGATTATGTAATAATATACAAACTTACCTTACTCTTCGAAAATGACATTGTGCTGTTTACTTTTATTAAAGCTTTTAGTACTTCTAAACTTCCTTTAGCTGCAGCAATATGAGCACAGTTGTTGCCATCCTTTATAATATGTTGTAAAATTATTGCACAAAAAAATCAAGAAGAAAATGAGAAAAATATATAGTTAAACAAATAGTAGTAATACAGTAGTAAACCTATAACAGTGACTCTTGACCTAGTGAAAGTAATTTTTTTCAAAGTTTTACACTCATGATTCCACACTTGTGTAGTCATATGGGATTCCATAATGTTATTTCCTCATTTAGATATAATATTATCTAAGTGTTAAATCATTTTTTTACAACTGGATGCCTAATCTGGCATTAATCTGCTTTGGAGGTAAAGATTGAGTACTTATATTTTGATTATATTAACCAGCTCCTTCTACCTTTGCCCGCATTTAAATTCAACCCTCGGAATTAGGAAAAATGAGGTAGGCTATTTTTTGCTGACCTCTAACTTTTTGAGGTTGGCATTAGGTCTGCAAAAAAAATTTGACACAAAGGGTTTACCATAAAACATGAAATAAGGTTGGCAATTTTTTAACTACCTCAAACACTTTTAGGTCCGCAGTTAGGTCTAATTCCAAGGGTTATACATTTATTTATTTATATATATAATGCGGTAGTGGTGTAGTGGTAGAGCGCTCGCTTCATAAACGAGTGGTTCCGAGTTCGATCCCCACCACGTCTTTGGTAGTACTGCGCTCAACTCGTTTCTCCGCGCAGCGGCCTTGTTCGTCAAGGTTCGTGTTTCAGAGTTATAGAGTTGAGAGAGGGTTATAGCCACAAATAAGTAGCCTCTTCGTCTGTAGTGGCCTTCTCGGCCTTGAGGAAGTGAATTAAAATTACATATATATATATATATATATATATATATATATATATATATATATATATATATATATATATATATATATATATATATAGTAGTAGCATAGTAGTAGAATATATTTACTGCAAGGAGATAACTCCTGGAGCAAAGCATTAATACAAGCCCTGCTATTTGCAGTGTAAGCAGGTAATTACATTGTGCATTTTATGTAATAATTAAGTTTTTTTTTAATCCAAATACCTATTGTAATGGGTTCTAAAAAGATTTGCTGAAATTTGTAGAACAGCATTATTTGGAAGATTTTTCTAAGGATTTGCTACTCTGCTAGTGAAGAAGTTATGACGCATTTCACAATTATTAGTTATTTCTTGGCATAAGGGTTTACAATGACCATACTTAGGTTCTGCTGTCAATGGTTCAACATGCCAGTTAACTCTGTCAATTATTCTTAATTTTAAAATGTTGAATGCAATCAAAATGTGTTCTTCTAGTTGTTAAAGTATCTAAATTAAGGAAGTGCAACCAATCTTCATAGCAGAATTTTTTTAGACTGTGAGGTACTTTTGCAGCTTTTTTTTGAATACATTCAATGCATTTTACTGCTGATTTTGAATAATTATTACATGATAGAGTTGCAAAATCTAAATGCAGTCTGATATAAACTGTGCATAATTTCTTCCATAGTTTTTTTTCTCTGCTGATGAATGAATTTTTCATCCACCCTAAGATGTTACTACCCTTTGAAAGCGTGTGTATTTGCCATTTGATGTAGTCGTAATGCTAAGATCATGCTTTTTTTCAGATTTCAAAATTTTTATGGTAGTTGAAATTGCAGCATTAAAAAGGTAGGAATTATTTTGGGGGTTGTTTTTACCCACATGCGTCACTTAGTATTTTTTGTAATTTAGTTTTATGTACCATTTTTCAGACTATTCAGTAATAGCATTTAAATCGAGCTGTAGCTTGTCTGAATCTTTTCGTTTATATAAAGAATGAACAAAAGTGGATCCAAGATGCTGCCTTGTGATTGTACTCACCAAGAACATCTGCATTGGATTAATAAGAAAGTCACCAATTCAGCAAAACAGTTTTCAAGAGATCACAAATGCTTTTACTTTGTGCATAAGATGTTGATGCGGCACAGTGTCAAAAGCCTTGGCAAAGTCAAGAAAAATTATATTACCACACTGCTTATATGCCAAGGATGAAGAAATAATATCCATGGACTCAAAAAGGTTGCTGATACAGGATTTAATCCTAACAAATCTGTGTTGTTGTTCTGCAATAAGACCACTTAGGTTGTTGCATAAATGATTTAAAATTGTGTCAGATGATTCGTTCTAATACTTTGCATGGTACAGACGTGAGCTAAACTGGACGGTAGTTAGCCAGATTTAATTGACATTTAATTCCAAGAAACTGCCAAATAGCAGTTTCTTGGAATTCTTATGAACTATTGTATTTTCATAGTTTCTTATGCATTGTTTTGTGTACTTTTTAATCAGATTGTAAACTTGCTTATATTTATCGAGAACTGGTATAATATGAGATCTGGTTTGCTAGACTAAAATCCATAATTATTTTTTTTTGCAATAAAGTTACGCAGCTGTTCATTCACCCTGGATGGTTGAATTTTACAAATTAATTTCTTACTACAAGGTATGCATTTCTGGCACAAACAATTTAACTCAATAAGAAAAATTTTGTAACATTGTGATGTGTTCTTAGAAATAAACAAAGCATCCCAGTCAACTTTTTTTATATCAAGATTCAGATTTTAGACCTCTGCTAGTTTATAGTTCAAGTTCGACTGCACAAAAAGAGATCTTTTATAGTTTCAGTGGTAGCTAGATGCCATTCAATAGAGAGCTGGTTTTTGGTTGGACATATTGCAAAGTGGAGGAAGAAGCTCAATATTGTATACACAGTTGGATGATTTGGCCAGTATTAAATCTTATATTTGCTGCTTGAGTTGCAGAATGATGGAAAATTAATTACGTGAAAAATAAAGTGATCTTTGAGAATATGCACAAATTGATGATCTGATAAAGTGGTGCCTATTGATGCATATGCTACACCTTCATTCCATGTTAACTTATTAAAAATTGAAATCTCCAGCTAAGCACATACCACTAAACATTTTATTTTTGACTGCATCACTTTTAGCATCATTAGTTTCGGCATGACGCCGAAACTATTGATGCTAAAAGTGCTTGTTAAAGGTTTAAGGGGGCGATAGAATCATTATTGTGTTTACAAGGAGGTCTATAAATACACGCAAACAAAATGTTCTCTTTGCTTAATTTTACAGTACACCATATTTGTTCAACAGCTTTACAGTTTAATAGATGCATATTAACTTCAAACGATTTTATTTTGTCATTTAAATAGATTGCTACACCACTCCCATGACCGTTCCTATTACTGCAGCATAGTTTATAGCCATGCAAGTGCATTGAACTATTGATATTAGCCCAAGTTTCAGTTATAAAAAAACAATTTAAAAGTGTGTGTTATGACTTAAAGCAGAAAAAATTTGTTGTTCAGTGAACATTTGCGTAGTAACAGAATAAATGATTTGAACTGATTTCTTGGCTTTTAAAAGTATTTGATGGCTTGTTTGAACATTTTTTGGCTGATGTAGATGGTTTTAAAGTATCATTGATATTATTTTGTATTGATTGGTTTTGAACTTGCAAAATGGGTTTTTTGCCATTCAACAAATGAGTGTATTGAATAGCCGTTGATTTCAAGGGTCTTATATACATCGATGCAGCAGACCCTGTCACTGTGGATGACAAATCGAAATGGGTTATTAAGCTTATTAAACTCAACTTGTTCTGCAATTGTTTAATCAGGTCTGATAAAACTATTCTTGTATTCAGTTTCGAAAAGATTGGATGCTGCTGCAAATACTATATTTTTCGATTATACACTTTTTTCACAATAATTGAGTTTTGGTTGAACTGAATTTGGGCTTTATTCTATAAGTCGATACAATTTTTGCATTAACTTTTAAACATGATATTATTTCTTTCACTTTTTGGTCTGAGGTATCTGAAGAGAACATGTCTACAAATATAGCTTTTTTTAGCTTTGTTTTCAGTTGCTTTAGCATTTGCAGATATTGCACTAATAAGTGCTGTGTTAGCTTTGGATCCTGGCTTACCTAAAGCTGCTGCCAGATCGCTGTATTTTAAAATCTTACTATTAGTGTAATTAAAACAAACTTTTTTTTCTCAAGTATTTCAAGTTTCAATTTCAAATCAGTGATTACAACTTCTTTATCAATGACAATTAGCTTGAAACTGTCAATCCTCTCCATAAATTCTATTTTGACTTGGTTAATTGCAAAAGCAATTAGTTCTTTTACTTTCTTTTCTTGGTTTGATCCAAAAACCATTTGATCTTGATAGGAGGGCTACCACCCTAATCAGTGGATTACCTCCTGGTTGTGAAATATTGAATTATTAGTTTACCTTATTACACAGGGACTAAAAAGTTTCAAAATGCGTTTTTTTCTGTATAGATATATATTATAATAAAGACTCATCTGAAATGGCATTTCTGATGAGTCTTTATTGATGAAACAACACTGTTAGTTAAATTATGAAATGATTTTTTGTATTTGCAAATAAAATACAAAAACTCTTGTACGTATAAGAGTGCTCAATAATAAATAAATAGGATTTATTTATATTATCTAAAAGAGCAAGATATATATATATATCATGATATATATATATAGCATGATAAATATATATATCGCAATGCCGACCTAACTGCCGACCTAAACGTGAAAAAAAAATTTGGTTTTGCCGACCTCATTTGGATGTTTTATGGTATTTGCCAACCTGATGCTGACCTTTAAAAGATTGAGACCGGAAATAATTTGTTGACCTCAATTTTCCTAATTCCAAGGGTTGTATATATATATATATATATATATATATATATATATATATATATATATATATATATATATATATATATATATATATATATATATATATATATATATATATATATATATATATATATATATGTATACACATATATATATATATATATATATATATATATATATATATATATATATATATATATATATATATATATATATATATATATATATATATATATATATATATATACACAACTTGTTTCTCCGCACAGCGGCCTTGTTTGTCAAGGCTTGTGTTTCGGAGTTATAGAGTTGAGAGAGGGTTATAACCACTATTGAGTAGCCTCCTCATCTGTAGTGGCCTTCTCGGCCTTGAGGAGGTGAATAACAAAATAAATAAATATATATATATATATTTTTTTTCCATAGTAGTATAGTAGTAGCCTTGGTACCTCTTCTCTATAATGCCAGATGAAAAAAAATTACTGATTCTTTTAATTTCATTTTTGGCTGGTTGATTCAAATAACCAGCCGAGCATTTTAAAGCAAGTTTCTCTCTCTATAGAGTTAAGTCTGTCAGCTATTTCATCTTATGAAACTATTTTTTAAAACTCAACCAATTTTTATTAATATGCATAAAAAAGTCTGGTTACAAATTTAAACTTAATTATATTTCAAAATTTATCCAACCTCTATCAAAAAACAGTAAGCGCAATATTATTCCTGGCACTCTGGATGGGAATAAAAAGTGTATTTTGGAGTTACTGAATCCGCATTTAAACTTAGCTATGCTAACCATACAAAAAATTTAAATACTAAAAATTATAAAAAACGATACTGAATCACACAGGTCAACAAAAAAAAAAAAAAATTTTCTGGTGCCAAGCAAACAATTTGTTTTTTGTATAGTATTTTTCATTTTGATTTCAAATATGCAACTCATTTTTTTTCATTAACTCAAGATGTAAAGATATTTGGGTTCAAATCTTTAGTATTTGGGGTAAAGTCCCAAATATTATCGAAAAAAAAGTATTCAAAAGTATATCACTGTATACCTGGGTCTTAAAAGAAGCGTATTTTCATAAAGATTTTAGAAAAAATTAAAATTATTCCTAAAATTTATTGAGAAAAAAAATATGTGAAAAAATGCTAAAGACCCTTATAAAAATTTACAAAAAGTACTTATTTTTATTTCAAATGAATAACATTTTAAAAATCTCTGTGAAAATATGCTCTTTTTGAGACCCAGGTTGACATACTTTTGAATAAAAATTTTTTTGACATTATTAGTGACTTTACCCCATATACTAAAGAAATAACAATAATATTGGCTGAAGGATAAAGAGAAAGTGGATAGTAAATTTGATCAGAAATCGATTATGAAAGAGAGCAATTTTGAGAAGAGGAATGAAAAAGAACAAAGAGAAAAGTAATTGAGGAAGAAATGTTTAATGAAGCACATAAAAGAATGGTCAGAGGATTTAAACCTGATTTTTCAACAAATAGGTGAACTGATGCGTAATTATATGCCTAGGCCAAACATGTGACTATCAGAGTTTTTGCCAACCAAAGCATAATAGCCATCGATACTGATTTGAAGATGAAACAGCCCAAATCAATTTAGTCTCACAAAGAAAGTTTGGTAAATTTTCCTAGAAGTAAGATTCAACTGATAAAAAGTTACTCCGAAGACCATGAACATTTGAAAAAAATAAATTGGCGGTGATTGTTAATAAAAAATATTTATTAATTTTTTTTTTTAATTAAAACTAATTTTATAAGAAACTTAGTCTTGAATAAAAATATGCTTTTTTAAATTCAAAATCTTAAATTGAAAAAAAATAAATCATTTTTTATAAAAGTAAAAATAAACTAATCTTAACAAACTTTAAAAAAAATTTAACTTTTATATATATATAGATAAATAGATGTGTCAAACAATATTGGTATCAGATTTCAATAGCAATAATACAACATAGTGCAATAGCATCAAGTGTTAGTAAGAATTTTTTTTTTTTAATTTTACAATTTTTATTGATTTAAAAACGTTATGGAAGACCAAAAGTAGAGAAACATTTTTGGTAAATTTGAACTATTTAAAAGATAGTTAACAATATAAATAAAGAACTAATGATTTAGAGGTCATAAGTTCCACCACTATCAGTAAACAAGCGCCTATCTGAGACTTGCTTTTAAGACTTGAGTTTCTCTCGCCAAAACTTTGCTTGGGTACTTTTGAAGTTGTAAAATAATAAAATGGTGTAAAACAACAGTAAACTGACAATAGTTAATTAAAATTAAAATTACATGATATCAGTGTCAAAACTGTATAAAACATAACATAAACATAACTAAAAATAGTAAAATATTTTGTAATTAGAGCAAGAAATGTCTATTTGTAGAAGATCTATTAGTTCTACAAATTTTAATGATAAAAAAAGTCATAAATTTTTTTTAAAAATTCACAAACAATAAATACCTTATTGATGAAATATGAAAGATCTGGGCGTACATCTAAGAACATTTTAACAACATCAGGATGGTTATTTTCAGCTGCAAGATGAATTGGTGCAGCTTGATTCTATAAAAGAAAATATCATATAAATAATTTTCTAGCTTAAAAAAAATCATAAAGTTTTTGATATTAAAAGTTTAATACAGTTAAAGTTAATGTTAAGCATTTTAATAAAAATATAAAAACTAAATTTAATTACTTCAACTATACAATAAAAACAATTCTTACAATATCAGCTAGCATCGGATCAGCACCAAGATGAATCAAAATCTTGCATGCCTCTATATGACCCCTTTCTGAAGCAACATGTAGTGCAGAACGTTTTATCTAAAATTTTGTAAAGAAAAAAAAAAAAAATTAAATTTTTCAACAAGTAACAACTTTAATATATAGAGTATACTGCATTTATATTATGTACAATACATACATATATATATATATATATATATATATATATATATATATATATATATATATATATATATATATATATATATAATATATATATATATATATATATATATATATATATATATATATATATATATATATATATATATATATATATCACTAAATATACTCAATGGCAACAAGATGTGCTAAAAAAATGCACTATTAGGCGACAGTTGTGTTAAGGCAACTATTAGTTCGCCTAAAAGCTTCTGACTTAATTATAATGGCTTTTTGCTTGCATATCAAATTTAAAATTTTACCTAACTTTAGGTATCTATTTAAATAATTTAAAACATAAATTTTGCCTCAAACTAAGGATTTTTTTAGGAGATATAGGAAATACGGTTTTTAGAGTGTTTATTGCATAAAACCGCAAATTTGCATATGGTGAGAGTTTTTACTTTTGATAGTTTTTAAGTGTTTTTATAGGTATATATTATTTTTATAATTTAAAACATTAATTTAGGAGTTAGTTGACTATATTCAACTATTTTCCAAACTTTTAGCACGCAGTGTGTGTATAAAATGCGCAACTAAAAAATATAGATTTTTCTTTCACTTAAACTTTAACTTTTTTCTTTAAGCAAAACACAAAAACCTTTTTAAGTATATTATGTAAGGCTCCTATCATATTAACCTAAAATCAATAATTTCAATCATTTTCATCTGTTAAGGTTTTTTCTTCATAGTTGCTGACTTTCCACAATGATGTTTAACATTAAGTAACTGAGTAAAATTAACAAAAGAAAAAATGTGAAGACAACACTTTTTTTGTATATCACTGTGGGGAAGCGCAACAATTTTAATTTTAATAGAGTATGGTCAAATGTGTAATTATAGGATGAGTGAAGTTGTTATAGCATGAAAAAAAATTTTTTGTGGAGAAAACTACAAAAAATTTCGCCTTACAGTAAAATTTCGCCTTATAGTAGAATTTTTGCGCATGTCATCATTAAGCAGGTCTAGGAGTATATACATATACATATACATATATATATATATATATATATATATATATATATATATATATATATATATATATATATATATATATATATATATATATATATATATATATATATATATATATTATGTTTATTCACCTCCCCAAGGCTGAGAAGGCCACTACAGACAAGAAGACTACTTAATTGTGGCTGCTGTGCAGAGAAACAAGTTGAGCGCAGTACTACCAGGGACATGGTGGGGATCGAACTTGGAACCTCTCACTTATGAAGCAAGTGCTCTACCATTACACCACTACTGCATATGTATAGCTACCTGCTGAGGGAAGCATGACTTTAGTGGAGTATGGGCGAGAACTTTAGTCCTTGCCCACACTCCCCTATAGTGGTTTAGGGGAGCAAATTACGGTTCTTGCAAACCTATAATTTTTTTAATAAATATAAACCACTTTCTTTTTTTCTCTATTTTTAGATATTAAATAGAAAAATTGAAAATTCTTGCACAAACTACATCAAATAAAAAAATACAAATTCAGATTGACTTTTTTGCTTACAAAATTTTTTTTTTTTTTTTTTTTTTGCATTACAGTCAATATATACATTATAAACAACTAAAATAAACAAGTCAGTATATATACGCTATAAACAACTTTCCAAACTTGAACATATTGTCATTGTAATTTTAAAGAGATATTCTCTTTAAAATTAATGACAATATGTTCAAGTTTGGAAAGTTGTTAATAAAAAAAAACCATTACTGTTGTAACTAAGATGACAAATGCTAAGTCATTTTAGAAATAAACCAATTATTGCATAATAAACTGCAATGGTTTTTTAAAGACATGGTTATTGCAAAAAAATTGAAAAAAGAGCATCAATTGAAATGCAAATGTTTTTAATTAGATTGGACGAACTGATTGGTTTTTTAAATAAAAATCAGTTTTCTATGAAAATGCCATTATGAAAAAATAAATTGATAATATTCTGTTGTAAACAATGTTCTTAGTCAATGCTATGTTTTTATAATATAGCTATTATTTAAAATTCAGTTTATAAATATATATATATATATATATATATATATATATATATATATATATATATATATATATATATATATATATATATATATATATATATATATATATATATATATATATATATATATATTAGGGTGGGTCATATAATTTTTTTTTAGAGTTGCTAACCTGGCTATGGTCTAGAAAGTTGTTTTTTTATGTACTAATTTAGAAAAGTATTTACTTTTATGCATTGAACAATGTCTTCCACCCGCAACTATAATTACAAAAATTAGCAGGCCCTATTATTAAAAAAAAAAGTTTTTCAAAATTATTTGATGTAGGTACTCAAATAAAGCGAAATTTTATTAAAATTTTAAAAATAATAATTTTTTCATATAAAAATTATTATTTTAGATTTTATTGCATAATAACTATAGTTTTTAGACTAAAAGTGAAAAAGGTGCATTTTTACATGTTTTTTAATGACAATTTTTTTAGGAAATATGATTTTTATAAAACGATTATTATTTTCGAATTTTTTATAAAATTTCGCTTCTTTTGAGTACCAGGTTGACCTATTTTGAAAAACTTTTTTTCTCCAAAATATTAGGGTACCAGTAGTTTTCCCAATAAAGTTGCGCCCTTTAAATCTACCACAATCATTCTCATATTTGATAGTATCAATATTAATAACTATTAGCAATGTTTAGAGCCTGTAACAAAAAAAAAAAATTAATGACCCACCCTAATATATATATATATATATATATATATATATATATATATATATATATATATATATATATATATATATATATATATATATATATATATATATATATATATATATATATATATATATATATATATATATATATAAATATAAACGAATAACAATAAAAGCACATAAAAAATTTCTGTTAATAATTTAAAAATATTTAATTAAAGGAAGAAGGCCCTTAGCAAAATATCTCACCAAAGATTGAATATCATAAGAAGCCATGTACTTATTAACAAGAATCTCAATGAGTTGACAGTGGTTATTAGAAGCAGCAAGACTAACAGGTGTCATCCCTAACTAAAATCAAAGGTATGTTAATAATATAAGTCTACAGGGTAATTCCACATCAAATCACCCAAATTTTTCAAGATTTTGAACCATAGGTCTCATATTTTCTTTAAACTTCTTTAGCTGTTGCATTTCATATAGAAAAGTTCACATGCAAAATTTTAGCCAAAAATGTTCAGCCGTTCACAAGATATCAAGGTTTTAATATAGACCTGGTTTCCCAAAATGACCTGGTTTCTGTGTCATTTTAAAAAAACGTTTGCTCTAATAAAATGAAAAATAATGAAAATAAAAATATGAAAATTAGCATTTATAATGCTTTTCTAATGCAGAATTCAAAAAATGCACTTAGAATGCTGAAATATGAGCAGAACATGCTTTAAAATTAAAAACACACCTAATTTATATATTCAAACTTAGGGGTCATATATCTCAAAACACCCCCGTCTAGATTTTTTTTTTTTTGCTTTTAATATTTTTAGCTACTTATTATCTTACTAGGCACAAAAAACCTAACTGGAAAAACAACTAAAACATATAGAACCATAGTTTCCAAGATACACCACTTTTATGGGTGCCCATAGCAATTTTCTAACGAGGGGGAGGGGTGAGGGAACAACAAAATATTTTTAGTGATGTTCTAATTTAGTTCAATTTACCAAGAATACTTAAAAAAAAGCATATTGCAAAAGATATGGTGAAAACAACTTTTTTTTATTACAGTTAGAGGGGAGGAGAATAGTGTTTCAATAACACCTGGCATTGCCATATCTCTGTCATTTAAACCATTTAGCCAATAAAACATATCAAACTACTTTGTATGAACAGTAGTTACTTAGTAGTGATAAGTTGTAGATGATAAGTTGAGACATCATTGTTAACTCTTATCAAGCTCCAATTATCCTACAGCCAAAGATTTGGAAATATCTAATACTATATCATTATTTAATATATTTAAAACTAGAGCTTTTTTTTTTACTGAAAACTAAGTAGGAAAGTTCTTTTTTTTTTTGTATCCTTCGAATTGCTTTTTTCTTACTGCAAAAGCATTCAATACACTTCATTGCAAACTAATTAAAAAATTAAAAGGGTATGGCATCACTTAAAAGCTGCTAAAAATCTTCCTAAAGACAGTACATGTGTAGCAAATTATAGAATTCTGTAAAGAATTAATTTTGGTTAATAGACTTTTTATATATTTAAGGAAGTCTTAATTATATGATAACTTAATTATATGAACTTAACAACTGAAAAAACATCCGGTTTTGTTTTTATATAAAAACATTTTATAAAAAATAATTGTTATGTTAATATGATATTTTTTTTAATTTTGACAACTATAGTTTGTAAAAGTTTATTAAAAATGAGTTTATAAAAGTTTAGTTTATAAAAGTTCAGATATAGAACAACATTTATTGGTAAGATTATATTTAAATTTTAAAAAATTAATAATTTAAATAATATAATTATTTAAAAACTTCTTTTTTTACAACATTTATTATTAATATTAATAATAATAATATTAAGAACAACATTTATTAAAAATTATATTTATTAAAAAACTTTTTTTACATACAATTAAGTAGAAGAATTTTATTTTTATTTTTAGGAAATACTTTCATACTAAATAATTTATCTTATTAAGATGTGTTCTATTGGGTTAATGACATCAGATGCTTGCGAAGGCCAACAAGATGTTATTGAAACTTTAAGCAATGAAGAAAAAATAATTATATCTTTACGCTGTAATATTGAATTATCAAACTTAGAAATATTATGTGAAAGACATAATACAAAATATTTGAAAATGTATCCTATATGGCAGAAAGCTTGTTGTGATCCATTCAATAGACATTCAAAGAAAATCACAAGTATGTAGCTGTAAAATTTAAATATTTCATTAATTTATGTTTTTCAAAAAATAAACGAAAGTTTTGAACTAATGTGCAGACATACTTTATACAATTCAATTACTTTTAGAAAATCTTGGCGTAGTTACAATAAAAGAGTCACAAGTCATGATGAGAAATTGTTTGAATATTCCTCCTGGGAAGAAACTTTGCAAACCTTGTAAACAAAAGATTGCCAGAAAAAAAGAACTTACAGAAGAGGAGCAAAGTAAGAGTGAACAAGATGAGGATTTTCTAATATCACCATGCAAAAAAATAAGACAGGAGATCAATAAAGAACTCAAAAATTTTAGTTTATCTCCTCTAAAATCTCATTCAAAATCATTAAAACATATACTGTCAGAAGGAAAGCAAAAAGTTGCATGCATCAACGAAATGGCGTATAACGCTACTAGAAAAATTGAAACTCAATTTTCCTCAAAACTATGTTATGAAACCAATGGGATGAAAAAGAAGGCTGCAAACTTTGATGAAATTATGAGCTTGGTAAAAGAAAAAATTCTATGTTCTGACAAACGAACTATTGTTCAACTTCTAACACTGGCACCCCCAAGTTGGTCAATATTAGAAGTACAAAATAACTTTTCGGTTACAGAATACCAGGCCAAGATGGCTAGAAAAATTTTTAATAAAAAAGGATTGTTAGGTATCTCTCCATTGTATAAGGGTAAAGTCTTACATAAAGAAATAGAAGATTCAGTTAAATTGTTTTATGACTCAAGTGATTTATGTCGAACTATGCCTGGAAAAAAAGATTATGTCAGCATTCAAAAGAACGTCCACAAACAAAAAAAACTGCTTTTGTGTAACTTAAAGGAACTATATGTATTATACAAAGAAAACAATCCAGAAATACAAATAAGTTACTCAAAATTTGCTTCACTTAGACCAAAGTGGTGCATTTTGCCAGGTGCAAGTGGTACACATTCTGTTTGTGTTTGTTCTTATCACCAAAATGCCATTTTGCTAGTGGATGCCTTAAATATTGAACTAACGTATAAGGATTTACTTTTGAAAACTGTTTGCTCAGTAGAAAACAAAGAATGCATGCTTGCACAGTGTGATAATTGTCCTGGTAAAGAACTGCTCACCATGTATTTGTATGAGATTTTTGGAGAATACGAAGATGATTTTGAGATACACTACAAACAATGGCAAACTACTGATCGTGCAACACTATTGAGTTTAACAACAGATGTTCCAACGTTTATTGAACTATTGGTATCTTGTTTTGAAAAGCTACAATCTCATTCTTATATTGCCAAATCTCAATCACAATACCTTAATCAACTAAAAGAAAATATGGATCAATCAAACATTATCATTCTTGGCGACTTTGCTGAAAATTATGCTTTTGTAGTCCAAGATGAAATACAGAGCTATCACTGGAACACCCAACAATGTTCTTTACATCCATTAGTGATATACTATAAAGAAGAAAATGGTGTAGTGAAACATATTTCTTACTGTTTTATATCAGACGACATTATACACGATGTAACTTATGTATACAAGATATTTCAACTAATTATACCAATATTAAAAACAAAATTTCTTGATTTATCCAAATTGCATTTATTCACTAATGGTTGTGCAGGACAGTACAAAAATTGTAAAAGCTTTTACAATCTATGCCAACTAGAGACAGAATTTTCCCTCAAAATTGAATGGAACTTTTTTGCCACGTCCCACGGAAAGTCACCATGCGATGGAATTGGTGGTACTGTAAAAAGGTTAACAGCACAAGAAAGTTTAAAACGACCATACAGAAACCAAATTCTCACATCAGAGGCTATGTATGAATTTTGTGTTGAGAAAATTAAGGCTGTTAACTTCATTTACATAAAGGGATTGGACTTACAATTGCAACGTGAAAAGCAAAAAGAAAGGTACACTGATGTAACAACTCTACCAGGTACTCGTAGCTTTCATCAATTTATACATCTTGGAGATAATAGGGTTGGGGCAAAGAGGTGTAGTACAGACACTAAATATACAATAATTCACAATCTTAAAAAGAAACATATATTTGAACCTGATACTGTCACTTTAGGAGGTTATGTTGCGGTAGTTTATGATGATAAGTGGTGGATCGGCATTGTAACTGAAATCAACCTAGAAGAAGTTGATGCTGAAGTTAAGTTTCTCCACCCAAGAGGTCCATCAATCTATTTTAACTGGCCTGAAAGAGATGACCACTGTTTTATTCCTAACATCAATATATTGAAAAAACTATCTGTTCCACAAGCTTGCTCTAGTTCTGGTAGAAACTATGTGTTTGAAAATGTTGAAATAGAAGAAGTGCAAGTAAAATGGCAACAATATTGTGAACTATTACAAATACAGTCAAAATAACTTGCACATTCGATACCTTTAAAAATCTTGTATATTTAAGTAACTTTGTAAATTAGGAATAATTTATTTTAATTGAATTTATAAATATTTTTTAGGAATTTCTTAAAAAAGTTATACATCTTTAAAATTAAAGTTCTATATGTTTCAGTTTTTTTTCCAGTTAGATTTTTTGTGCCTAGTAAGATTATAACTAGCTTAAAATATTGAAAGCAAAAAAAAAAAAAATTTGACGGGGGTGTTTTGAGATATTGGGCCCTAAAGTTAGATTATATAAACTAGTTGATTTATTAATTTTTAAGGATGTTCCTCTAACATTTCAGCATTTTAAGTACATTTATTGAATTCAGCATTAAAAAACCATTATAAATGTATATTTTTATATTTTTGCCATTTTTATTTCTTATTTTATTGAGGAAAACAACTTTTCAGAATGTTATGAAAACCGGGTCATTTTGAGAAACCAGGTCCAAATTAAATTTGCTGTATCTTGTCAACCGCTTGACATTTTTAGCTGAAATTTTGCATGCAATATTTTTTTATAAATAGGAATCATGTGTCAAAATTTAAAACAAAAAGAAGACACATGGTTCAATGGAGTGGGTGATTTGATGTGGAATTACCCTACAATAAACATTTAATAAATTTAATTGTGAGTATTTAACTCTAAAGAAAACACTAAAAATGTAAATAACTGTGTAAATAAAAAACTTATTTTTATTAGGCTCCTTATATGCATATGTAAATAGCCTAATAATATATATATATATATATATATATATATATATATATATATATATATATATATATATATATATATATATATATATATATATATATATATATATATATCACCATCAGTAGGTTCATCAGGAAAATGAACCTGATGGTGAAACATGCTATACGCATGCACACACATATATAAATATATGTGTATATACACACATATAGATATATGTGTATATACACACAAACACATATAGATATATGCACACACACATATAGATATATGTGTATATACACACACACACATATACAGGATTTTGACCAGGAAAAACATTTACAAACCATTTTCGCAATATTGGGAATTTAGGTGGGGCAAATAAAAAAAAAAAGTTAATTGCATTCTGACAGTTAAAAAAAGTTTAAGCAAATTAAAGTTCTATGTAAGTGGAAATATTTGTCATTTTCTAGATACGTAAACATCTTTGAAATTGTTTTATTTTGGGTGGGTTATATTCATGCCAGGAATATTTTTTAATATAATAAATATAAATATAATTACTCAACTTGTTTCATTCTGAGCAATCTTCTTAAATTTTTTCATATTTAAGTTTTGTAATTTAGTATAGAGAAAACAAGAACAAAAGACAATTGTTTGCAATTAAAATTTGAATAAATGATCAATTTTAATTGCATTGATTGCTTTTAAAAAATTACTTTAAAATAAAAAAGATAAACTAAAATAAAGAAGTCTTTATTCATGTTTACAAAAAGGAAATAGTTTATATGATTTATATTTTTTATATATACATTTTTATATAATATTTGATGTTGTTTCTTTAGTTTTTATATTTTTTGTATAAGATTTTATGTAAAAAAAAAATAAAAAAAAAATCAATATAAATTTTATTCATCATAAAAAATTGAAATTCGGCTTAAAATATTTTAAAATCCCTAATTAATTAATTTAATTCCTAAAGTAAAAATTTAATATTCTTTTCAGAAACTTTTCGTAAACATGAGTTAATCCTAAGTCAGGATTGAAAGCAAATATACCATATAACATATGTGGACACATAAGCATGCAAAATAGACATGACTACTAGAAAAGAGTTTAAAGTGTGAAAAGTTAATTGAAAAAAAGGTTTTTTTATGATAATTGACTCATTTTAAAAAGTTAAAAAAAACAACTAATAGATTTATAAAACGAAGACATGCAAGCCTTTTTTCAAGAATGGAACACAGCTTTTTTTATTTCTTTAAATTTTTTTAAATGATTTATTATTTGAGTATTTAGTCATAAATAAAACTGATTATACATGCTGATATGTTGTTTTTAAATTTCATGAAGTAATATCTTTAAATCAAAACTTGAAATATTCAAATTTATAAAGTTATTTTGTTGAAATTTTATTGAAAAGTTATTTCAGAATTGAATTTGGAGTGTATTGTGACATTACCTGGTAAAATAATATGGATCACTATTGTTTCACCATGAAACATAGAAATGCCATATCGCAAATTTTGGAGTGTTACTATTGTTTCACCATGAAACATAGAAATAATAACTATTGTTTCACCATGATATTATTGTTTCACTATTGTTTCACCATGAAACATAGAAATAATAATTTTAAATTCCTTAAATATAAAATTTAAAAGATACAGTTATAAATGTTTATTAAAACCTTAGTTTTTGCATTCACATAAGCCCTCTTCTCCATTATTAGGTTCACGCATAAAATATGCCCATTTTCACATGCTACATGAAGTGCTGCTTTGCCATTCTAAGATGTTACAAATCATGTTACAAAAGTTGTTACAAAAAATTTTTTTAAATCTTATTAAATTATTTTTAAAAAAACACACTACAATACCTCATCAAACAAATCTACTCTCGCATCATTATCAAGCAATATACGAAGTATATTGTGGTATCCATAATAACAAGCAACAAGCAAGGGTGTCCATCCATCCTAAAAATGATTTTTTATTAGATCAACTGATAAATATTTGAAATATTTGAAAATGCAAAAAATCAACATACACTATTTTTAAAATTTGCTGCTTTAGAAGCTTCCTTTTCAGACATAGATTCAAAAATCATTCGAAGAATGTCAGTATTGCCATTCCGACAGCAATAATGTACAGGGGTTTCTTTTGTCTTTAAAAAAAAACAACTATATTTTAGCTAGAGTACCCAAACGATTAGAATATAATTAAAAATAAATAAAGTAAACAGTAATATTAAACTAATATAAACAAATGCACAAACAATTGCAAAATATAATAGCAAAAAACAATGTAACCAAAACCTGAAACACAAAAAACAAACAAAAAACTATTAAGTAAAGCACTACCTTATCAATAATAAAAGTGAAATTTGAAAATAGGAGTATGGATTGAGCAGAGGACTTTATCTCAACATTTGCAAATAGTTTAAATATAAAATTTGTTGGTTGTAAGAGAAGCATCCCAGTAAAAAAAATAAATAAAAGTATTTAATGTTTATTTCTTCTTTATATACTTTTAATGCAAAAATTTGAAAAAATGGTTCAAGCGAGAAATATCGTTTAAACAAGGGGGTATTATCACAATGTTCATAAAAATTTATCCATAATTAACAAATTGAATATTGTTTATCCTTTTTTCTTACCATTCTTACATCATCTTATCTTACCACTCTTAATTGAACTACTCTCCATGTTTTTATTAGAATTACTGATATGATTCGTAAGGCGATTGATAGTGGTTCTTTTGCTTGTGGTGCCTTTAATGATCTCCAAAAAACTTTTGATACAGTTGACCTCAAGATTTTGATTTTTTTTTTAAACTTTAAGATTTTAATTAATTAAAAATGTATATCTAACAAGTGATTTTCATCATATATTCAAAATCATACAGTTTGTCTTGATTAATAGGTCTCAATTCACAAATAAATTTATTAAGTATGGTGTCCCACAAGTTTCTGTTTTAGGGCTTTTACTGTTTTTAATATACATTAACCATCTGTCTCACTCCATAAATAATTTAATTGTTCATCATTTTGCTGACCACACTAATCTTTTTTGTATTAATATGATAATAAATTAATAGACCTAACCCTGAAATACTAAACATCAATCCAGTTTCAGTAGAAGTTAATAGACCTAATACTGAAGCACTCAACATCAAACTAATTTCAATATAAATTAATAGAAATATTAAAGTTAACAAAAATGTAAGCAATACCCTGAGTGTAGAAAGTATACACCCTTATCCTTCTGCAAAAGCTCGTTTAAAAAAGTCTAGAAAAGGTGCTCGCAAAAAGCTTTCATCTTCGATTCAAACTGATGATCCAATTAAAGAAGCTTTTCAAAATCAAAAACTTCAGCAAAATTTAAAAAAAAAAATCTTTCTGAAAAACAAAAAGATGATGAAAATAAAAGTCAAAATAAACCAAGAAAGAAATTAAATCAAAACCTCTAAAGTTTCCATTAATGGCATATAATAATGATTTATTATGATCAACACATAAGTGTTAAGATTGTTTAAATATTTATTACATCAAATTATATATGTGAAGAAATGGGTCGAGACAATAAAGTGTGGTAACAAACAATTTTGTATCACGTTAACTATAATTTACTTTTGTTGCAACGAATATGTACTACTTCTACTATTTAAAAACAGAATTGTAGTAAAATCAATTATCTGTTCTACAAGTTGCTTATTAGTTTTAAAAAATAATGACAGAAATAAAAAAAATTCCACAGTAAAACTGAAGTGTATCTGATTATGTCTAAAAATTTAAATAGTTGATAATTAAAAAAAAAAAAAAAATCAAAAATAAAAATAAAAATGTAAAAACGTGGTAGGGTTATGTTAACAGCAATTGTTTTAATATATTTTAAATATTAATGATATTTTATACTCTAAAGACTTAGTATATTTATATTAGTTTATAGTTATATTAGTTATATTTAATTTTATATTCTAAAGACTTAGTATATTTTATATTAGTTTATAGTTTATATTAGTTATATTCTTCATTTACCAATTATAACCTTGAAAGAAAAAAATCAATTTAAACTAAAAACATTACCTCGAATGTTGGTATACTGACTTCAGCATAATTATCTAACAACAACCTGATAAGATCTGTGTAAATTGCTTGGTTTTCAATTTTTGGAGTAATATTAGCACAATAATGAAGTGGAGTTTCACCCAGCTAATAAATAAACTAGCAAATTTGTTTTCATTATAGCAGTTTTTGAAAAAAAATATATATATATATTTACTAACAAACCTTATTTCTGCTATTTAAATAAAAGCAAAACATTTCATGTGATGTGTTTTTTTTTATTTCATCAATTGATATCAACAAAGAAGCTACAGACATACTTGAAACTGATAAATGAACAGATGTCTCACCAGCCTAAGAAAGTAAATTATACAATAGCAACAGTAAAGTTATGCTACTGTAACCCACTTTTAAATAACATTCATTGTAAAATATTACAATTGTAAACCATATTTAAAAACAACATCTAGTGTGAAGGTATCATCTTGCTAAAAAAACTTCAGAAGGGTTTTATAACCTCACTCAGGAAACAAAAGATAATAATAGAAACTAGTGTAGTTTTCTGAAAACCAAAAAAAAAGAATAAAAAAATAAGCAAACTCCTGAATGACCTGAATGTTGATAATTAAACTTATAAACAACAGCAAAATAATTTTAAAAATATAAAAAAACTGACTAAGTTTGTTTTAGTAATGGATGCTCCTTCTTCAACCAGCATTTTGACAACTGGGTAGTTAATAACACGAATAGCTGCATGCAAAGCTGTTTCTCCATTCTAATAAAAAAGCATTTAGTTACTTTATACACACTTTCTCTAGTTTGGTCATAGCTGAAAATATGTAGGCATAATTGGCAATTCAGTTTATGAATTACAAAGTCAGTTAACATGTACAAAAACTAGAGGTTTTTATTAATAAATTCTAATGGGCTCAATAAGTGTATATATATATATATATATATATATATATATATATATATATATATATATATATATATATATATATATATATATATATATATATATATATATATATATATATATATATATATATATATATATATATATATATATATATATATGACTAATGGGCTCAATAAGTGTGTTTATATTATATATATATATATATATATATATATATATATATATATATATATATGACTAATGGGCTCAATAAGTGTGTTTATATATATATATATATATATATATATATATATATATATATATATAATATATATATATATATATATATTATATATATATATATATATATATATATATATGACTAATGGGCTCAATAAGTGTGTTTATATATATATATATATATATATATATATATATATATATATATATATATATATATATATATATATATATATATATATATATATATATATATATATATATGCATACACTGCACAACATAATAAGATGCCCCAAAAAGATTTATAAAACTCTACTATACATTTATATTTAAAAACTATTTTTATTGTAAATGAAAGCAAAGGGTTTACAACACTAAACAACATTTTAACAAATTTATTTTTAATGTAACTCGCATTTTATAAATAAAAAACAGTTTTTTCATTGCGACAAAATCACAAGACATTTAAGCGAGTTATTCATAATGCTTTTCACTTTTTGCGCAAAAAACTTCAGCGAAAACCACCTTTAACAACAAATAAGTGATTTAAAAAAAATAATCAATTAATTTTTGCAAAGGACTACGTAACATGGAAAGAAGAGTGGCAACAAGTAGTATTTTCTGACAAAAAACAATTTTGTCTTGATGGGCCGGATAGATTTATTTTTTTCACAATTTGCATAAAGAACTAGTAACACAGCAACGACAACAAATGGGCGGTGGTGGTGTAATGATTTGTTGTGAAATTGGGTATCATTATAAATCAAAAACTTATTTTATTGATGGAAAAATGAAGGCTAAGGATTATCTTTTAATTGCTCAAGAATTATTAAGATGTTAAGCATTTGTAATAGGTGGTAAAAATTTTGTTTTCCGCAAGATAATACTAACATTCATACAGCTAAGATAGTAAAGGAATATTTTAACAGCAGTAAAATTGAAACATTAAAGTGGCAAGCTAGATCTTAAGACCTGAACATTATTGAGAATGCTTGGGCACAGCTGTCACATATAGTGTTTGAAGGTGGTAAACAATATAGTTTACTAGCTGACTTGAAATCATCCATCGCATTTGCATGGGATGCAATCGACATTTTGTGCATAAAAAAGTTGTATGCTTCTTTACCTTCTAGAATGATTGAAGTGATTCAAAAAATGGTAAAAGTACCCACTATTGATTGTTTAAAATTGAGATGTCTTTTATTATAAATGACAATTTATATGAACTTTTTCCAAAAGTGTTTTATAATTTTGTCGCACTTAAAAAAAAGTTTTTAATAAAATTTAATAAAATGTGAATTTAAAATAAATTTTTTTAAAATGTTGTTTATTCTTGTAATCCTTTTGCTCTCATTTACTATAAAAATTAGTTTTTAAATATAAACGTATAGTAGAACTTTACAAATATTTTTGGGGTGTCTTATCATTATGTCGCACAGTGTGTATATATATATATATATATATATATATATATATATATATATATATATATATATATATATATATATATATATATATATATAATAAAATAATTTAAATGAAAAAAAAAATACAACTTTATGATGGAACTAAACATTTCATGCCATTCAGCAATCATCAGCCATATTATTCAAATAAAAAATAAAAACCATTATAAAAAATACAAATTTAGCTTTGCAACGGCATCTAACGTCAATTATACGTGATCCGATATTTGCTAATCGCCGGAATCAAAGTTAGATGGTAAAAATTATTTCCTATGCCTACAAGCAGAAACCAATTCACTTTTTTTGTTAAGTAGTAGTCGACTATCAAAATTCATAATAAATTACTTTTCATTGATGCAAAGGTTACACTTTTTTGTAGATGGGTTAAATGATTGGCATCTTTTAATTATGTTCCACTTAATTATAGGCATGTTACCTGCGTCTTTAAGTTTCCAGATTTCCTTGGAATGTTCCGTATCATTCCTATACCTGGTTGCATTAAATGATTTAAGATGGTTTGCAAACCTGAGCTTGAATGTGTTTTCATTAATTCCGATGTAGGATTTTTCGGTAAGACTGGTATTAAGTGATTCTAAAGTGAAATGAAATGAAATTCTTGTAAAAAATTTTCCTCACAAGTCTTTCTAAAACCTGCGTATTCATGACCTAGCATTCTCAAATTCTTATTCCTAAATCTTTTTGAAGACATTTGTTCCGCTTTTCTTTTCCTTCCCCTAGATTCAACTGCTACTTCATGTTCCAAATTTCTTTCATGAAAAAAGTTGTTATTGCTGTCTATTGATTGAATGAAAGCTATCTGTTCAACATTTGTTATTTCAGAGATTGGATTTCATCTACTGTAAAGTCAAAAGTTGGTAATTCACTTAGTGAACTATTGTTTTCAGTACGTACTAACTCCACAAAGAAATATGGTAAATTATCTGTCATTTTCTTTAAAGCTTTCAATGTCATAACTTGATGTGTTTTATCTTCTTGACAAGATTTTGTTATTATTCGCCATTTTAATCTTTATCTATCTTATCTAAAAAAAACCCAAATATTGTAAAACAAGTTTTAAAAAAATGGTTAATGAACAAAAAAATGTTTTTTCATTATTACATTTGTATATAGATAATAAAACTAAAACTTACCTGAATAAAACTAAAACTTACCTGATGTGGTGTTGATTATTTTCATTTATAAATTGAATTTGACAACACATCAAATTAACAACAACATTACAGTTACGATCCAGATGATAACCTATCACATACGTCGTACTGACATTTACTAGCCCCAGATACGCAGTATTGTTATTGGTCAATAACCTGCATTCTATAGGTCAAATGAAATTTCCAATATTACTCAATATTGGCGGCTGCCAATAAGAATCCTGCGTGCATTACTCAAGAAATCTTAAATTGGCTACATTTATCAGATACGCGGTATTATCCAATGCTTGTTACACGGATTTGCACTATCCCCGACGATATATATATATATATATATATATATATATATATATATATATATATATATATATATATATATATATATATATATATATATATATATATATATATATATATATATATATATATACATATATATATATATATATATATATATATATATATATATATATATATATATATATATATATATATATATATATATATATATATATATATATATATAGTCGAAAGAGTCGTTTAATGTAAAAAAAGTCTCTTTCGACTACAATTTTAATTACCTCGTCTCTTAAACTATATTTGATTGTCGTCGAAATGTCAAAGCAATTAAATTAATGCGGAAGTACATTAAATTTTATTGTTTTTTAAAAAATTTTTAAAAAACCGCAATAATAACGACTAGAAAGTTTTTTTTAATTTGTAGTGTTTTTGTTTTTGTTTTATTAAAAAACATTTTTAAAACATGCGTAAATGTTGCTACATCGACTATCTTATAGCCTGACTTGCAACGGAGTGCTGCTACATCGACTGACAAATAGCCTGACTCGCAAGGAAGTGCTGCTACATCGACTGACAAATAGCCTGACTCGCAAGGGAGTGCTGCTACATCGACAGACAAATAGCCTGACTCGCAAGGGAGTGCTGCTACATCGACTGAGGGTTTGGTTTGGGCAGGCAGTCTATCATTTAATAAAAAAAAAAAAATTTAAGTTTTTAAACTTTTTCTGGTCAGGTTTATTAACGCGCTCTTTAAAACTACAGTTTATGGGAAACTCTTTTTAACTACCATGCAAGAGTATATATTTATATATATATATATATATATATATATATATATATATATATATATATATATATATATATATATATATATATATATATATATATATATATATATATATATATTTATATGTATATAGATACTATATGACCCATATGTATGGGTCATATAGTATCTATATATATATATATATATATATATATATATATACATATATATATATATATATATATATATATATATAATATATATATATATATATATATATATATATATATATGGGTATGGGTCAGCAACCTTTTCATTCATTATTCTTTGTTTTTTCTCATTGTTTTCTAAAAACGCTGACTTAATTTAGGCTAGCAAAAAAAGTGAGCAATTGCGCATATAAATATGCTATAGTAGATATGTATATATGTATATATATATATATACATATATATATATAAAATATATATATATATATATATATATATATATATATATATATATATATATATATATATATATATATATATATATATAAAACAATAGCTGGATACAAACTAAATTTTTTCTTAGTAATATTTTGACCTGTTTTTGCACAGATCGTCATCAGACGTAAAATATAATGCAAAAACCATTACAAATATTACATAAAAACGTCAAAGAAGACATTAAAAAGAAGCCATAAATGATATGTAACAACATAAATATATAGTTGGCAAATATTATTTAATTCCGTTTTTTGGATAATTTTTTAAAAAAAGGGTCTCCAACTGTTTGTAGAAATTGTAATGCCATTTTCACGGTTGAGAAGTATAGGAGTGTGTTTTATTTCCTGGTATGTTGAGGCGTAATTGATTTCAAGTGATTCTCTAACTTTGCGTTTATCATACTCTGATTTTATCACTAGAGTTTTTAGATTTGACCAATCAAACATACAATTACATTCTCTACTGTGTTCCTTTGTACCATATGCATCCTTATTTAACTTTTAAATAGTTTTTAAACTAGAACTTTTAATTTAACTTTTAAACTAGAAATTTTTGAACTTTTAACTAACTAGAACTTTTTAAAAATAATATATGTATATAGATTTTATAATTTTTACTACTTCACCTAAATTTAAAAACATCTTATGCAACAACAAGTCAAAGTTAATTCCTAATAGCAATCCTTGTGTCTACAAACTCATATGCTTTTGTGGCAGTATATACATTGGTGAATTCGTTCAATGTTCAATGCATATTGTTAAAATTTTCTTTTTTGTTTCCAAGATATGACATTGAAACATATATTTTGTTTCCAAGATATGACATTAAACATATATATATATATATATATATATATATATATATATATATATATATATATATATATATATATATATATATATATATATATATATATATATATATATATATATATAACATTGAAACATATATTTATATCTATATGTCTATATATATATATATATATATATAACATTGAAACATATATTTATATCTATATGTCTATATATATATATATATATATATATATATATATATATATATATATATATATATATATATATATATATATATATATATATATATATATATATATATATATATATATATATATATATATATATATATATATATATATATATGTATATATATATATATATATATAGATATATATATATATATATATATGTATATATACATATATATATATATATATATATATATATATATATATATATATATATATATATATATATATATATATATATATATATATATGTGTGTGTGTAAACATTATTTCAATTAATTTTATAATAAAAATAAATACTTACAAAATCTGTAATATCAACAATTGCTCCTCTTTTTAAAAGAAGATCTGTTATTTTTTCTGAATTCCTTTTAAGTTTTGCAGCAAAATGCAATGAACATTCATTTTCCTAAAATGTTTATGTTAATATACTAAGAGATATGGTATATAATATAAAGTTATGAATATAAAAAAATAAAATGTTATAGATTTATGAAAAATATAAATAAATAAAAATCAAAATAAGAATGAAATAGGTTTTAAATTTCATTAAAATAATTAGAAAATTATACAGGTCCTCCAAGTGCATTAACATTTGCACCAGCTCCAATGAGAAGTTGCACCACATCATATTTTCCATATCGTACTGCAATATGCAAAGGTGTGTAATTATCCTAGAAAAGCATATATATATATATATATATATATATATATATATATATATATATATATATATATATATATATATATATATATATATATATATATATATATATATATATATATATATATATATATATATATATATATATATATATATATATATATATATATATATATATATATATATATATATATATATATATATATATATATATATATAAATTAGTAAAAACACTTATCTAATTTTATCTTCAACAAATTCTCTATCAGTAGGTTCATCAGGAAGCTTCTACTGATGGAGAAACAATTTGTTGAAGAAAAAATTGGAAAAGTGTTTGTACTAATTTATTATTCACCCTCAAAAACTTTTTTCTCAAAATCTCATAACTTTATTTAGCAAAAGGTTATTTTATTCTAAAGAGAACAAATAAGCTAAAAAGTTTTTTAGTCTGGCAAAAGGAAAAAACAAATAAGCCAAAAAGTTTGAATATATAAACTTAAAACAAAAACATAATAGGTTTGAAATGTTAAACAAAGATCACAACTCTTTAAAAACGTGGCAGTGTGCAAGTATTAGTGTCTACAAATAATAAATTAATATTTAGTATTACTATACAAATTATTGAAGTTATAGTTATATACTAATATTAAATAATAATTTAGTATTACTATACAAATTATTGGGTTTATAGTTGTTTAATTTTTAATTGGTTATTTCTCAAATAATTTGTTTAAACGCATACTTTTATATTAAATATCAGAGTTAGGTTTTCACTGATATTAAATTTTATCAGTTTTATAATGAGATTTTTGTGATAGTAAAATAATTGCTGAAAATTTTTATTAATTTTTTTTAATTTTCATAAATTTAACTTAATTTAAATAAGTTGAAAACGCAAGCTTTGTAAAGAAACTTGTGCAGAAATAGTAGCTCTATATAATAAAGGCTATTCTACCCAAAAAATTGCTCTTAAAACTAAGCTTAAAATTGGTTTCGGTTTAATCAATAATTTCGGAGCGCCACCTCTGAAATTATAGATTAAAAGGATATCAGGTATTATTTAAGGGCAAATTGAATTTAAAAGTTTTTGGAAAAAAAAGATTTAGAAAGCTGGAAAACTTATGAGTGACCTCATCCATGTTTGATTGAACAGTCAAATGTTTAGGTGGTTCTGTATCTGTTTGGGATTTTTTTACTGGCCACAGTGTAGGAGATTTAGTCAGAATTAAGGGAATTCTTGATAAGACTTGTCATTACAGCATTTTTCAGCAACATTTTTTTCCATTCGGACAAAGAATTGTATGCAACCACTTCATTTTTCAGCAAGACAACAACCCTAAGCACAAATCAAAATTGTGTAAAAACTATATATATTTTGAAAAGAATGTGCAAAAGTATTAACTTGGTCACCTTAGTCACCGGATTGTAATGATTGAGTTTTTATGGGATAAACTAGACGATAATGTCAGACAGTTGAGGCCAAACCAATCGAGAATATTTATGGGAATACTTGCAACAGTTTTCAAGTAATACTTCACCTTTTACATTAATAAAATTAGTGCAAAGAATGCCAATAATTTCTGCAGCAGTTTCAAAAGCTAAAGGCTGAAAGTTACTTAAAAGAACCTAAAATTTGGTAAAAATAAATATATAAATAATTTTTAATTTTCATTGTTTATAGTTTTTAATATGTTTCTGTTTGAATATATTTCTGCAAAATAAATCTTGTATTATTCTAAAGTAATTAATATTAAATAACTTTAATAGTAGTTTTAATAATCAGTTTTTTCTTGTGATCAAAAACTTTTGATTGCACTCTTATTCAAAAAAATTTTATCAAAAGTATGTGTATATATATATATATATATATATATATATATATATATATATATATATATATATATATATATATATATATATATATATATATATATCAGAACAGGAGGTTCAATGGTAAAAGACCGTCTGAAATGATCAAAAATGCTGTTTTGACTAACCAAAATGAATTGTTGCCATTCAAAGTTGACTGGTTAAAAAATCTTAGTTTTAAAAAAAGTTTTCCCTAACAACCAGGATGTATATCAAAAATAATAAATATTCATAACATCTAAAATATTTAGTTAATATTTTTGAAATATTGTCTAAAATATTCTAATTATTTTTGATAACCTTTTTAAATTCACTTATTTGACGTGTAATAAATACGCAACTCTCGGAATTAGGGTCGGCATTCAGCAATGCCGACCTAACTGCCAACCTAAACGTGTTTGCGGTCGGTAAAAAAAATTCAGTTTTGCCAACTTCATTTTGATGTTTTATGGTAAGACCTTTGTATTTGCCGACCTCTAAAAGATTGAGTTCGGGAAATTATTGTCGACCTCAATTTTCCTAATTCCGAGGGTTGAATATGACATATACTATATCAATGATTGATTTTTATATATTTGATTAAAGTTGTTATTTTATTATTATTTTCTGTTACTAATTAAATGCATTCTTCTTTATAAAGTTTTTTAATTTAATCTTTTTAAAAAACTACTTAAAGTTTTGCCATCAGTTGTAAAGTCATTGCAACGAATGAGCGCAATCAACACAGTAAGTTAAATAAACTATAATTATCATCAGCACATATTTTCTTTTAGGTTATCAAGAAAACAACTAAAATCGGTTTTTATCTGCCATTTTATAAAACGGTGGTCTTTTAGTATTAAATATTAAGTTTCAATTATTTTATTTTTTTGAGCTTAAAATAAACTACCATACTATATATATAAGGGAAATAATAACAACTCTTTATAAAACCATTAGCAATCAAAAAATATTTATGTGTAATTTAAGAATATAAATTGCCTTTTAGATTTTTTTGGAAGAAAAAAGTGAAAAAATAATTTTTTTCAAAAAAATGTTTTTAGCTTTATTTAAAAGATAATAATAATAGTAATAACTAAGCAAACAAATAAAATTTATTAAGTACAAAATGCACAATAAATATTAAAAAAATATTTTTTCCCATAAACTTCAAAAAAGCCAAAAATTTAATTTTTTTAAATTTTGCATCTGACCAATGTGTCTTAAAACACTTAATTGTCTTCTTGACAATTATCAAAGATCACCGAGATAAACAGTTCATTATAGGGAGCTTCAATTTCTGTTAATTTGTTAATAAAGGAATAGTTAAGATCTGGTTTGCTTGTTGGCTCTAGAATAAGAAAATTCATGACAAGTTTCAGAAGGGGGTTAAGGATATAGTGTACAGCTAATATATTGTGGTTTCTAAAAGCTCTTGCTTTGAGAAACCGCAAAATTAGTTTAAAATTGCAAGCTTAAATAAAGTGTTTTAGGGACAGCTCAATAAACTTTACTATTTACCAAGTACCTAATATTTTGAAAGTATTTTTTTTTTCAAAAGTATGTCATATTTGGTCTTAAAAGTAGCGAAACTATATAAAAATAAAAATCATTTCATACTACAATTATTATTTTAGATTTAATTGCATAAAAACTATTGTTAATAAACAATTTTAACTATAAATGAAAAAAGTACATTTTTTACAACTTTTTACCAAAATAAAATTTTTCCAAATGTATATATTATAAACGATTATTATTGCTGAAGTTTATATATCATCAATTAACAACATATAAACATCTAGCGACTTGGTTATTGAAAAAAAAAATTTTTTGAACTAGTCAAATGTATATCCATGCATATGTATATATGTATGTATATCCATGCATATGTATATATGTATATGTATATAAGCATGTAAATATATATATATATATATATATATATATATATATATATATATATATATATATATATATATATAATACAGTACATAATAATAATAATAATATATATATATATATATATATATATATATATATATATATATATATATATATATATAATAATAATAATAATAATAATAATAATAATAATAATAATAATAATAATAATAATAATAATAATAATAATAAATTAATAATAATAATAATAATATATAAACAAGATAACAACTCATACAATTTGCCATTTTTTAAGTTGGGAGAATATTCCAAAAAACAGATGTTCTAGAAAAAAAAATTAGACAAATAAGGTGTTTTTGGAACACTAAGGAACAGTCACAGTAAAAGGATGAGACAACTATGGATGGGATTTTAACTAGAAATAAAAAAAGTGCATTTTTTTACAACTTTTTACCAAAAAAATATTTTTCTAAATGTATATATTATAAACGGTTATTATTGCTGAAGTTTATATATTATTTTGCTTCTATTGAGTACCAGGTTGACCTACTTTTAAAGATGTTTTAGGAAAATAAATTAGACAAATAAGGTGTTTTTGGAGCACTTAGGAACAGTCACAGTAAAAAGATGAGACAACTGAATGATGAGTAACACAAGAATGAATTTCAGTAGATGACACAAGAAATGCTAGCTCTTTAGATCTAAAGAGCTAGCATTTCTTGTGTCATCTACTGAAATTCATTCTTGTGTTGCGTTGTCTTGTGCTCTATAGAGCATTACCCATTGTAATGTTTATAGAAAAGTGAGAGAGCAACATTACAACAGTGTGACAATGGTTGAAGGTTGACTGCAAGTGCAGGTCTAACTATGTTTTCAATGCACTTTTACAACTAGTCTAAAAAAGAAAGAGCATCATTTGAAGATCCACTCCAGATGTGGCAACAGTATTTCATACAAAGATTTATAGAGATAAAGATTAGATTTTTATGATAATGCTTAGCCGAAAAAAATTGAGTTTTATCTGAGTTGAAGTTTACCAGTCACTAAGCGCCCCATGCTGTAACTGAAATGAGATCCTTTTCAACTTCAAATGCCCTCTCCAAGTAATCAGATAGTGTTGGCTTCTTATCAAGACAATAATAAATAGTAGTATCACCAGCCAACAATCCCACCTTATATGTGAGAATTTCAGGGAGACTGCTAATGTTAATTAAAAAAAGTATAGGGTCAAAGATAGAACCTTAAGGAACCCCTGAA